AAAAAAAAAAAAAAAAAAAAAAATTTGAAACTGTAAATCGAAAAATTATAGTTGTGTCTGTTATGAGGTATAAAGCAGTGTGATTTATCAATGCAGTGTGGAATAATTAAGTGAATTAACATAACCACCACCTCAAATACATAGGTAAAAAACATTTTAAAATTTACTCTAAGTGATTTTGAAATAATTGGTTATTTACTGTGTTAGATTCAATATTATACCCATGAGTTTCTCTTTCCCAAAATAATTTAGGATGTCTTGTAATTTCTTCTTATCCCTGTGTTGTGGGAGGACAAGAAAAGAAAGTAATGTTCATAACACAGCAAAAGGCTGTTTGCAGAAAAGGTGCAAAAGGATAACATCACGTTGACAGGATTAGTAAGGAAGGATTGTTATCAGGACTTTTTATTCATTCAGTACTTGCTCGGTACCTGTTATAAGTTAGCCAGTGTCCCCAGCTGTAGAATAAAACAATGACTGAAACAAATCTCTTCTCATAAAGCTTATACTTTGTTTTTAGCTAAGCTGGGGATTAAACCCAGGACCTTGTGTGTACCCGGTAAGTGCTGTGCCACTGAGGTACATTTCCTACCCCTAAAGGTTGCACATTAATGGAAAAGGGCCATTAACAGTTGATAACATAAGCCATTTATATAAAGTCTGAAAGCCTGCCCTACATAAGATGTAAGTTTATGATTACACAAATATATAGTAAAAAATAAGAACATGTTTAGGAATAATGCAGTGAAAAGGGTAGCGGCTACCTAGAAAGGAGAAGAATGACACTGAGGGACACATAGAATTTTAAGTAAGTGTATGTTTTAATTAAAGATTTGAAACACATCTGTCATTGTTCAAATTTTATAAAGCTAGGTGGTAGATATACCAGGATTTATTATAATACACTATTATTTGTATATTTGAAATATTTCACTGTAAAATCAAATATTACCAAAAAAGAAAAAAAGGTCGAATGAGGAATTATGCAAAAACAGAAATCCGAGTGGCCAGTAAGTACCTCATTAGCAGTCATGAGATATTTTAAGAATGTTATTCTTATTTGTGTCCTGTAGCAAGTGCTTAAATAGTTAAATTGAATGCATTCAACATGTTTTATTTTCTACAGGCCCACACAACATGAATTAAGACTTTATAAACAACAAGTGAAGAAACTGGAGAAAGCCCTCAAGAAAAACATAAAGTAACTATATTTTACTAAAGTTACAGCTTCTTTTAGGGTTTGGTGTTTTATGGTTTGTTTTTACTTACCTGTCAGCTTACCTCATGCTAACTTAGAGTACCTGGAGCTTGGAATTACAGCCTGATGGGGGAAATGACCTTAAAAGGGGACATTTCTGGTTGCCCAGTTTTAAAGCAATATCCAGTATTTGGCTGTATGTTCATCTTAAGTGCAAAGAAAGAAAAGGTAGTTTTCTGATGTAATAAGGGAAAAGGAAAAAGATTTTAAATAGAAAATTCTTGGGAAGTAATGAAAGAATTACAAGAGAATCGATGAAATTACAAATGACAAATTCCCAGCTTTTCTTGTTGGTAGTCATGATCTGAAGATTTTAAAGTAAGTCTTGTCACTTATTTCCAGAAGGCATGTGAGCTGTGCTTATCCACCGCTTTTACCCTCCCTGGCTTTGAAAAGCAAGCCCTCAAAGGTGTTTCAAAAAGTTGATCTCTAATAGTAGTAGTGTTTCCTAAAGATTATGGATGTTTACACTTTGATTGAAGGGAATGAGACTTCAGTAATTTGAGGACATTGGGATGAAATATTTTGAAAACCCTTATGAGCTAAACGTATGTATTAAAGATGTTAAAAATTTGTATCAGTAGGTATTGATTCGATTTTCATTGAGAGCTATATTTCCTCCTTCCTGTGGCAACATGTATATCACAGTGAAAGGCGAATATGAGCATCCAGGAATTATCTATGCAGTTAAATTAATACAGTTGGGAAGGAAAAATAAAACAGATAGGTTGGGAAAGGATGCATTCATTACTCAGTGAATACTTTTTGCCTTTCTATTATTGTTGATATCTTGGGTACATACAGTATATCCTGCTATCTGCTTCGCATTCTAGACTGGTGTTGCAAAAGTAAACCAAATAGAAAAGATCCCAGCCTTCATGGAGATGTCACAAAGAAAAAAGGTTAGAAAAAAATAAATAAGACAATTTCAGTATAAGTACTAAATGTAAAACAGTGGGAAAGCTGCAACTGTATGAGTTTGGACAAGAGGTAGTAGTGAATATGGTCAATGGTGGTAATGGCAGAGGTGCCTGGAAGTGGTAGAAATTGGTAGTATTGGAGGTAGGACTGATAGTGCTTTGTGATGGATTGGCTATAGGGAATTGAGGGGATGGGGAAGAAACAAAAGTCTCCTTTAAGTTTCAGGCCTGAATAGGTAGTCCCCCATGCTATTAACTGAGATGGGGGCATTGGAAGAGATATAACTGGATGTAGGAAGGTAAAAAGTCAGAGGAAGAGAAAACTTACTGACTCCAAGCCAGTGTGTTAGTGAAAATATACAAACACATGCATGTATCCCCTTATAGGTACATAGAAATACACAGTCAGTCCTCAGTATTCACAGAGTCTGTATGCATAAATTTTCCCATCTGCTAAAACTTTTTATAACTCCCAAGTCCATCATTATAGAACTTTCATAATCACTCATGGGCAGGCTCAGCATGGCAAAATTTGAGTCATCCAACACACACATTTTTAACGGTTGAACAAGTTGATGGCTTACCCTCTTTTATTTGAACATTCATATTGTAAAGAAGTGTCCTTCTCACTATTTGGTGCCACTTTCTTTCTGCATTTTTATGCTTTTTGTTGGTGTTTTCTTTAAAATGGCCACCAAGCACAGTATTGAAGTGCTGTCTAGTATTCTTTTCTGTACACAAATAGACTATAATGTGCCTTATAGAAAACAAACTTACAGATAAGCTTTGTTCAAGGCATGAGTTAGGGAGTACTGCCAGCCAAGAATTTAATATTAGTGAATCAACATTCTCTTTAGTAAGGTGTCTTTAAATACAGACACTCATTAAATAATATATATAGATCAGTTAAAGAAAATGTGAGCAGAGCCTTGCAGGAACCCAATTCTGTATCTCCCCTAGGAACAGTGGTTTAGTATTTGATAATTCAGTATTCATGATGACTTTATAGACCTTACATACTATAAATAATTTGTTGTTTATTTGGGTTCTGGTGTTTAAAATGATTTATTATTAATGTATTTTCCTTTAAAATTATGATTCACAACAGATTCTTGGTCAGTTTTCAGGGATTTCTTCTCATTTGTGTTCTGTTCAGAGGACCTTATTATTTTCCAGTGTCAATATGACATAAATTTTTGTTTATGCACACATGCATGTATGCTTATGTGCATACACATATAAATAAAATGCCATAAGACTTTTAGAAGGCCAGCTGGATCATTGACTTAGTTTGTCATCTTAGTCTAGTGCCTAGGAAAGCACTTTGTATTTTTTTTTTTTTTCTCCTATAGATTACAGGAACTTATCAGTCATACAAAAACTGAGGACACAGACAAAAAAGATGAACCCAGCAAAGAAAACCATCAACAGGCTCTAGTTGACCAGAGATACTTTCAGGTACTGAACAGCTGAAAAAACAGTTGTATTTGTACTGGACCTTGGTTTGGGTTACAGTGTGATTAATTATCACTTAAGGAATACTTGCACAGTTGTCCCTTGGTATATGTGGGAGATTGGTTTCATGATGCCTGTGGATACCAAAATCTGCAGATGCTCAAATAAATATACATAAAATAGCACCTCTACATTATTTATACCAAATACAATGTAAATGCTATACAAAGAGCAGTTATATTGTATTACCTAGATAATAATGGCAAGAAAAACTCTGTTAAGATTTTAAAAGATAATTCTCCCCCCAAAGCCATTTTCCTTTTGTTTTTGTTGTTGCTATTTCATAAGTAAATCTATTTTCTTAGGGTCCTTTTATAGTTTTGCTTTTGTTTAAATATTTAACCCATGTGAAATTTAATTTTCTATGTGGTATCATGCAGGGAAACTAATCTTACTTGTTTATACATTATTTATTGAATAGATGAGCAATTAAGTCCTGTAGTTTGACTGAACCAGACACGTACTCATGTTTTATTGAGCCTACCTAGGCTTTTAAATTTTGAACTAGGACAGTGGACCAGGTGGTCTGCAATCTGCTGCCATCACAGTTCGTGGGTGAGCCCCAAGAGAGCCAGGTATATTCCATCAACTTCCTGGGGACACTAGACCAGGCGGTCCATGATCTGCAGGCAGCATGGTTCATATCTGGGCCCTGCGCATACCCTGAGCTGCCGGGGAACACTAGAGCAGGTGACCCGTGATCCTGCTACCGTTGAGTCCGCGTCTGGGCCCTGGGTGCACCCTGAGCTGCCTGGGGACACTGGACCAGGCGGCCTGTGATCACACCACCATTGCAGTCTGCATGTAGGTCCTGTGTGCTCCTTCAGCTGCCTGGGGACACTGGACCAGGTACTTCACAATCCACTGCCATCACATCTGAGGCCTTGGTTACACTCCACCAACTGACTGGTGACGCTGGACTGATCAGCCGGTCTCTGCAGCCACTGAGGGGCAAGTCAGACCGCTAAGAAAACTAGGGATGCTAGGGACCTTTGGTGAGCTGCCAGGGAAGAGTGAGACTGGGCGCTGTGCATCTGGCATCAAAAATGATAAGATGAAGGACCAAAATGCAATCTTGGAGCTTCACCCCACTCAAAAAGAGTCCAGGAGACATCAACATAGGAGAGCTTGGTAATCATACACTTGAAATAGCTGAGATGATTGCAACTGAAGTAAAGAACCAACTCTATCAGGCCATAGAAGAAATCAGATCAGAAATAATCTCTCAGGTAAGAAATGAAATGACAGCAATCATGAAAGAATTGCTCAGCACATCTAAAGAAGACATATATAGAACAATAGATGAGCATAGGAAAGTGCTGGAAACATTAAATAAACAGTATAGGAAAGAACTAGAATGCATGAAATAGATTCAAAGAGATATCCAGGAAATCAAAGCTTCCATTGAAAGGTGGCAAAACCGCTTGAATGAAGCCAAGGGTAGAACTTCAGATCTTGAAGACAGCATGGGAGCTAACAATCCTGAAAGGAAGGATCTCCTAAAATTAATGAGGAACTAGTAAATATCAATTCAACAGCTGTAAGATGATGCAAAGAGAAATAATGTTAGATAAATAAGTGTCAACAAAACAGCAGGAGGCAACAAAAATGACCTAAAAAGAATATTTGCAGAAGTAATAGCAGAAAACTTCCCAAGCATGGAAAAAAGAATCTGACATACAGGTGAGGCATCAGAACTCCAACTACTCATAACCAAAATAAAACTACACCCAGACATATCATAATCAAGATCCCAGAAATCCAGCAAAAGAACAGAATATTAAAAGCCATTAGAGAAAAGAAACAGATCACCTGTAAAGGAAAGTGCATCAGAATCATGGCAGATTTCTCAACACAAACCATCCAGTTGAGAAGATCTTGGAGTGAAGTATTCCAGGTCCTGAGACAAAACAGTTTCCAACCCAGATTGATGTATCCTGCAAAACTATCCTTCAGATTTAATGGAGAAATAAAATATTTTCACAACTGAAGAACTTCATGAGCACCAAACCAATCCTACCAAAAGTACTAAAAGATAATCTAGAAAGAAATAAAAATGACTACATTTTCAAGAACAACAGTAGAAAGGAACCACCAAGCACAGCAAACAATTAAACAGAAAACATAGGAAACCAACAGCAAGTAAATGATATGACAAAGATAAGCCAACACATATCAGTTATAATCATTAATGTAAATGGCCTCAATTCACCAATCAAAAGAAGCAGACTGGCAGATTGGATCAAGAAGCAAAATCCAACAATATGCTGTATACAAGAAACACATTTAACTCAAAAGGAAATTCAGAGACTGAAAGTCAAAGGATGGAAAACAATTCTCCATGCAGCAGGAACCCAGAAGAAAACGGGTAGCTATTCTGTTTGCAGACAATGTGAACTTCAAGCTAAGAACAATCAAAAGAGATAAAGAAGGTCACTACAGACTTGTTAGGGAAAAACTGCAAGAGGAAGACATAACAATCATAAATATGTATGTACCAAATATGGGAGCACCCAACTATATATTCAAATCTTAATAGACATGAAAAACCAAACAACTAATAACACTATTGTAATAGGGGAGCTAAGCACCCCATTAACACAAAGAGACAGGTCATATACATAAAAAATCAGCAAAGAAATAACAGATCTGAACCAAATCTGCAAACAAATGGATTTAGTAGATGTTTACAGAGTGTCCCACCTCACATCATCAGAATACACTTTCTTCTCAGCTGCACATGGCTGATTTCTAAAATAGACCACGTTCCAGCCTATAGAGCATGCTTCACTAAATGCAAAAGAATTGAAATTATCCCATGCATATTATCCGACCATAGTGCATTGAAGTTGGAAATTAATGACAAAAGGAACCACAAAAACTCCATAAATACATGGAAATTAAAGAAGAACCTCCTGAACAACCAATGGGTCACAGATGAAATTAAAGAAGAAATTAAACAGTATGTACAAACAAATGAAAATGTAAATACAACTTACTAGAATCTGTGGGATGCACTGAAATCAGTTCTCAGAGGGAAATTTATAGCGGTAAACTCACACATCAGGAAAACAGAAAGAGAACAAATAAATAGCCTAATGCTGCACCTCAAGAAGTACAAGTCAAGCCCAAAGCCCAAAGAAGGGAGGAAATTATAAAGATCAGAGCAGAAATTAATGCAATTGAGATGAAGAAAACACTACAAAAAATTAATCAAAGAGTTAGTTCTTTGAAAGAAGAAATAAAATTGATAAACCCGTGGCCAACCTTATCAAAAAAAAAAAGAAAAGAAAAAACTGATTCATGCAATAAGGAATGAAAAGGGTGAAATCACTACAGATCCTATTCAAATTCAAAAGATCATCAATCTACTTGAATCTGCTTTCAATCTACTTCAAAAATCTTTACTCCCATAGAATAGAAAACTTAGAAGAAATGGACAGATTCCTAGATACTTATGAATTACCAAAGTTGAATCAAGATATAAAATCCTGAATAATCCAATATCAATTAATGAGATTGAAAACATGATTAAAAACTTACCAACAAAGAAAAGCCCAGGCCCCAATGGATTCACAGTGCAATTCTACAAGAAATTCAGAGAAGATTTAATACCAATATTCCTCAAAATCTTCCATGAAACTGAAAAGGAAGCAATTCTCCCTAACTCATTTCTGGAGGCAAGTATTATACTGATGCCAAAACCAGAGAAAGACCTATCCAGGAAAGAGAACTACAGACCAGTCTCCCTAGTGAACACAGATGCAAAGATGCTCAGTAAAATACTAGCAAACAGAATTCAGCAAATCATCAAGAAAATCATATACCATGACCAAGAGGGATTCATCCCAGGGATGTAGGGATGGTTCAATGTAGGCAAATCAACAAATGTAATACACCATATCAATAGAGCCAAAGACAAAAACCACAATGATCATCTCAATAGATGCAGAAAAGGCTTTTGACAAAGTCCAACACTCATTCATGTTAAAAACCCTGCAGAAAATAGGAACAGATGGTCTTTACCTCAATCTTATCAAAGTCATCTATGACAAACCAACAGCTAGTATCATACTAAACGGACAAAAACTAAAAGCTTTCACTTTAAAGTCAGGAACAAGACAAGGGTGTCTACTGTCACCACTCCTATTCAATATAGTTCTGGAAGCATTAGACCAATTAGACAAGACAGAGAAATAAACAGAATAAAGATAGGAAAGGAAGAAGTGAAATTATCATTCACAGATGACATGATACTGTACATGGAAGACCCCAAAAACTCCACCAAAAGACTCCTAAAATTGATAAACAAATTCAGTAGTGTAGCTAGACACAAAATCAACACTCAAAAATCAATAGCATTCCTATACACAAACAGCAAACATGCTGAGAGAGAAATTAAGGAAACCACACCTTTCACCATAGCGTCCAAAAAATTGAAATATTTAGGAATCAGTCTAACAAAAGAAGTAAAAGATCTATACAGTGAAAACTACAGTGCTCTGAAAAAAGAGAACAAAGAGGATTTCAGAAAATGGGATATTCCTTGTTCATGGATAGGAAGAACCAACATTGTGAAAATGGCCATACTCCCAGAATTATTGTACACAATCAGTGCAATTCCAATTAAAATACCATTAGCATACCTCACAAATCTAGAGAAGGCATTCCTAAAATTCATCTGGAAACAGAAGAGACCCAGAATAGCAAAAGCAATCCTAGGCAACAAGACAAGTCAGGTGGCAGAGAGTTCATGAACAAAAACCAACTGCACGGGAAATACTTCAAAGAACAACTAGGATCTCATCTTATTGAAAAGTTTTTGCACATCTAAAGAAATCACCAGCAGAATAAAAAGAAAACCTACAAATTGGGAAAAATTTTAGTCAGCTGTGCCTCAGACAAAGGACTTCTATCTAGAACATAAAAAGAATTAAAAAACATCAGCTCCCCCCCATTCAAAGACCCAGTCTAAAAATGGGCATCTGAAATGAATACATGCTTCTCAGATAAAGAAATACAAATGGCAAATAAATACATGAAAAAATGTTCAACATTATTGGTCAATCGAGAAATGCAAATTAAAACAACACTGAGATTCCGTCTTACCCCAGAAAGAATGACTGTCATCAAGAAATCAACCAATAACAAATGCTGGAGGAGCTGTGAGGAAAAAGGTACCCTTCTCCACTGTTGGTAGGAGTGTAGACTGGTGAAACTAGTGTGGAAATCAGTTTGGAGATTCCTAAGTAAACTAGGATTAGAGATTCCTTTCAACCCAGCTATTTTGCTTCTGGGTATTTTTCTAGAAGAACTGAAAGCATCATATGACAGCGATATATGTGCACCCATGTTTATAGCAGCACAATTTGTAATAGCTAAATTGTGGAAGCACCCTAAATGCCCATCAACTGAGGAATAGATAAAAAAAGTTGTGATATTTTTATATAATAGAATGTTACTCAGCTATAATGAAAGATAAACTTGAGGCTTTATAGATAAATAGTGACAACTATAGACCATACTTATAAGTGAAATAAATCAGTCCACTGTCACCACTCCTATTGAACATATGTAAAAACCATATTGTCTTGCTAGTGTAAGAACCTGAAAGAGTGAATAAAATCTAAAAGTACAATAGATATTTTGAAAGGAAAAAAAATTGCTCAAAGAAAGGAACTGGGATGAGGGAAAAGAGAAAAGAAAAAGGGAAAAATATGTATGTGGGTATACACAGGATAGCTAAGATAGTTGTACTACTGATTTCTGTTATTTTATTGAAAGGAACAGTTAATGTTTAATTGTTTGATCAACCTCATATGCCTGTATTTGTTTATCTGAATAACCAGTTTGAACATACCAATATGTAATACAGTGATCATTGTTAATTTCCTATCACCTTGTCTAAAAATAAGTATTGCTTGCATTGTTTTTGTGTTGTTTTGTGAATCTCTATTAATATGTTTTCATTCTTTTAGCTTTAAAATAAAAAATAAATTTTGAACTAATTGGCAATATTTTAAAAATCAATATGTGAATAAAATCTAAATATTTCTATATTTAGAAATAGAAATTCTAGGGGGCTGGGGATTTAGCTCAGCGGCAAAAGCGCCTGCCTGGCAAGCGCAAGGTCGTGAGTTCGGTTCCTGGTACCGGAGAAAAACCAAAAAAAAAAAAAAAAAAAAAAAAACAAAAACGAAATAGAAATTCTAGAAATAAAATTCTAGAATAGAAATTCTAGAAATAGAAATAAAGAATTCTAGAATTCTAGAATAGAAATTCTAGAAATAGAAATAAATCTGAATTAATATGTGAATAAAATTAAATCCTTCTGGATGAACAATTTTCATGTAAAGCAATTTCAATTTAAGTATAAGAAGTAAAATATTAAAACATACCCTTCTACACTAAAAAAAACCTACTTGTAAATAAATATCCAAAGTCATATTGTCAAAAGACGTGTTTGTATAGCTTTCTATGGGAAGAAAAGAACAGCAGTATTATTTTGTGTTAGTTCTGTCTATTCTTTTAAAAACACTCTTGTTGGTGAGTCTGTCTGATGAATGTCTAACATTTTCTTGGGTCAGCTGATCATCATTTACGGTCAGTTTGATCACTTCTAACCCAGGTGTGACTTCCCTTTAGAATGTGTGAGACTTTATTAGTAATTGTCTTTACCTTAAACTTCAGCTAAAGTTATGGAACAATGGAAAAGCCCTTTCTAATATCCTTTAGCTTAAATATGAGGGACAGAAACAGGGAAATGCAGAGAATGTAGCTAAGGATGTCTGGGGTGGTTACTAGTCTCCATGTGGTCATTCATGACTGTTTATCAGGTCAAATTCATTTTAGTTTTTCTGTGAAGTTTTTGGTTGTTGTTAGAACTTACACATTTAACCATGTTAATGAAACTACTGTGTTGCCAGTAGAGTGCAAGTGTCAATTTCATTAACACATTCACAGTTCATAAATCTCATGTCCCATTGCCAAGCAGCTTTGAACCATGTGGGGGGGGGTACAAGCCAGCAGGAACATGTCGAAGAGCTTCTTAATATCCGAACTTGCTAGCTCTGAAAATGATGTTATGTTGACATATAAAGCACTACTTTAATGTATATCACTTTATAGAGCTGGGATAAATATTTTAACTAAAAATATTACGTTTTTTAAAGGTGCTATGTAGTATCAATTCAATTATTCAAAATCCAAGAGCTCCAGCAATAATTTATAAACAGAGCAAAGAAGGACCCCAACATTTTAACAAAGACTTTGTTCAGGATTGTGGATTTGAACACCTTGTTCCTATAATAGAAATGTGGGCAGATGAACTGACATCCCTGAAGGTAAGATTTTGAATATTCTTTATGTACTTTGAAAATCTACTCCCTTCTCTCAGAGATAAGTTTTTATTTGTCTCTTCTCTAAAGTAAGTAATAGTCAACTAGCATCCAACCCTACTATTAATTGCTCTGTCTATCGATGGGAGACTAAAATGTGTTCACTTATTGATGGGGGTAGTGGTGCATGCCTGTAATCCCAGCCCAGAGGCTGAAGCAGGAGGACCACAAGTTTGAGCCCAGTCTGGGCGACTTTAGTGAGACTCTGTCTCAAAAGAAGGCTGGGAATGTAGCTTAGTGCAAAGGCCCTGGGTTCAGACTTCAGTATTGTACACAAAAATACTTATTTTATAGTTTGAGGTTTTTCCAGTTTTTTGATAACTTCATTGCAAGTGAGTTGTTTTAAAGTCAGTATTTAATTTGTCATTTAAAGTTTATACTTTTTTTTAGTAATTAGCACTACCTCAATAAAGATATAATTCAATAGCAGTATTTGTCAAAAGAAATCTTATGTCAAGTATAAATGATGCAGATGATCTATGCTAAGAATGTATAAGCTTAGCTAGGGGTGGTGGCAGGTACATGCCTATAATCCCAACTACTCGGGAGATTGAGATAGGAGAATCAAGAATTTGAGGTCAGAATTTGAGGCAACTTGTCAAGACCCTATCTCAAAATATCTAAAATAAAAGCGCTGTTAGGGCAGCCCAGCTAGCTCATTTGGTAGAGCATGAGCCTCTTTAAAAAGCTGTTGATATAGCTGAGAGGTAGAGCACTTGGCCTAGCATGCATGAGCCCCTGAGTTTGATATCCAGTTCGGGTGGGGTGGGCTTATAAGCTCTATGAGAACAGAAAATATTGTCTTATTTGTTCTGATATGTTCTAAGGATTCGCATGATATATATAATTAATATTTGACAAAAGAATGAGGCAAAAGTGTGTATTCTAAGACAAAATACTAACTTTTGAAGGAGGTACAATACTAAATTTTTAAACATGTAGTAACACATCACTATACAACTAACAAAAGAATATTCACAACCTAATTTCTATTTCCCTTTTTATACAGGGCCTACACAATACACATTCATAAACATTTTGATTGACAGTGCTGGGTTAATACATCTATTTTAAGACTTGAGTCCCTCCAGTTGGTATCTCAAAAGGTGGTGAAGTAGTTACTCATTGTGTAAGCCATTCATTGTGTAAGCCACAATGAAATAGTTATTCATTGTGTAAACCATTTAATCAGAATTCTCACAGTAGGTTGTGGCAATACAGACACCACCTTTTTCCTGCTCAAAAGAGATGCAGTGGAAAAAGCCTTAGCCTTTCTAAGAGAAGAGAAAAGTCTAGAGAAGAAAAGAGGCAAAAGGAGGAGTCAGGGCTGTGGCTATAGCTCAGCAGCACAGCACCTCCCTAACAAGTAAAAGGTCATGTGTTTGATACCCGTTACCCCCCACCCCCGCCAAAAGGATAGTAGATATTTATTACTTAATGCTCAAGGCATTGTAAGAAGTTATAAAAGGTGAACACAGGATTCAGAATGATTAGGGACAAAATATGGTCAAAAATATGAAATAAAATGTAACCATTCATAATACCATTAGAAGAAATCAGCATCATAAAGACAGTTGCCCCCCAAAAAATAAATAAATAAAGACAGTCTCCCATGATGAAGTACAAGTGAATGATGGAAGTAAAGTGTACTGTAGAGTCTGGAGGAGGAGATCACTCTGATCATATCTCCCAGGAAAGGCTTTGCAGTGCTAGTAGTGGTGGTGAGTTCTCGCTGTTAGTTTTCTGAGTAGAAGGTAAGGAATTTCATAATTAAAATATTCTTAGGACATCTAATATTAATTAAAATATTCTAACCAGTTGGTTAGAATTAGTTTCCTCTGCGATTGTAGCAACTCATAGATTTTAGACAGTCCTTCTGATATTTATACTACACATTTAGGATTCAAATTGAGGAATACCTTAAGATTCTTTTAGGCCTCATACATCTTTATAAGGTAGCAGCCTCTCAGTTTGTGATAGCCATCTTCCCAAATTGGTTATTTTCCCCCTATAGGTTTGATTTGGCTTCAAAGATAAGGATGAGTTTGAGAGCAGAATGGATAAACAAGATGGGAATATTTATGTATTGTGGAAAAAAATATGTATATATGTATATATGCACACACAATGTATTTTATTTTTAGTTGGCACGTGTGAGTACAGGGTGCCATTTCAGTGTATGAATACAGTGTGTAATGATCAAATCAGGGTGATTGGCATATCCATCACCTCAAACATCATTACTCTGTATTGGGAACATTCAAAATCCCCTCTACTAACCAGTTGTTGTCAACTTTAGTTGTCCTGCTGTGTTGCAGAACACTCGAAGTTATTCCTCCTGTCCAGCTGCACCCCTATACCTGTTCACCATCCTGTCTATACCTTTTGCCCACACCCTTGCCAGGCTGTGATAACCACTATCCTTTTATTTGGGTTTTTAATTTTGCTTTTTACATCCAAGATAGGGGGCTTTTTTTTTTTTTTTTTTTATTAGTACATGTTTGCAGTACATAATGATTGCATTCATTGCAGGGAGTTGGTACAATTACATAACACATCTTAATTCTTTTTACTTCCTCTTCGCCTTCTCCCTTCCCCAAGATCAGCATTTTAGTTTCTATCTATAAATAAGAGCATGTGGTTTATTCTGCGTCTGGCTTGTCTCACTTACAGTGCCTTCTAGTTCCGTCTATGTTGCTGCACATGACAGAATTTGCTTTTTTTGTGGCTGAGTAATATCCCATTGTATGCACCATATTTTCTGCATTAATCCATTCATCTGTTGTTAGAAACCTAGGTTGATTCCATATCTTGGCAGTTGTGAATAGTGCCTCAGTAACCATGTGAGTGCTGGTATCTGTTTGATATATTAATTTCATTTCCTTGGGATATGTGCTCAGTAGTGGGATTGCTGGATTATGTGACGATTCTCTTTCCAGTTTTTTAAAGAACCTCCTTACTGTTTTCCATAATAGCTATAGTAATTTGCATTCTCACCAGCAGTGCATGAGTTACCATGTCTTTTTTTAAAGTTCTATTGGTACATTTTAGATATACATAATGATAACATTCATGATAGGAAATTTGTACCTGTAGATGACATATCTTGCCTGCTGCTTCTGTCCTGTTCTCTTCCCCTCCCTTCAACCCCTCTTCCCCTCCTTATTTACAAAAGTTTTGTTTCCATCTTTTTCCTTCTATTTTCTTATTTTCTTGTTCCTTCTTTTTCCTTCCCTGCTCCCCACCCCCCTTGTTCCCCTTCTCATTTGAACATTTTCTTCCCATTTCCCAATATTTTTTGTTGTTGTTGTTTTTCTGGTACCAGGAATCAAACTCACAACCTTGTGCTTGCCAGGCAAGCTCTGTGCCACTGAGCTAAACCCCCAGCCCCCATTTCCCAATATTTATAATTCATTTTGGTCCTTATTTCCATTTTTAGTTTCTTACACCGGAGAAACAATGCTGTATTTAAACATGTGTGTCTGATTTATTTTACTTAAGAGTATGGTCTCAAGGTACATCCATTTAGCCAGAAATGTCTCAAGCTTATCTTTGTTTGTGGTAGAGTAATACTCCATTGTACAGAAGAAAAAAAAAAAAAAAAAACCATCATCTTTATCCACTCATCAGTTCATAATATCATTAGAAGAAATCAGCATCATAAAGACAGTTGGGCATTTGGACTGGGTTTCAACATTTAGCTATTATATACTATGCTGCTGTAAATAGTGGGTGTGCATATATTGCTGTGGTATGATACTTGGAATGCTTTGGGGAAGATAACAAGAAGGGGAATAGTTGGGTTTTAATTTTTTGAGGGATCTCCACACTGATTTGCCTCTGGTTACACCAGTCTACACTCTCACCAACAGCAGAAAAGGGTTGCTTTCTCCCCACAGCCCATAGCCATTCTTTCCGGGGTGAGATGGAATCTCAGTGTTTTAATTTGCATCTCCCAAAGAGTGATGCTGAACATTTTTCCATATATTTACTTCTGTCTCTACTTCATCTGAGCTGTGTCTATTCATTTCAGATACTCATTTTTTGATGGGGTCTTTAAATTTGTGAAATATGATTTTTGTGAGTACTTTATATATGCTGAATATTAGTCCTTTGTCTGAGGAACAGCCGGCAAAAATATTTGCCCACACTAGCTTGTGTCTCCTCATTCTGTTGGTGGTTTCTTTTGCTGTACAAAAGGGTTTTTTTCTTTTTGTTTTTGTTTTTTGTCTTTTTGAGACAGGGTCTCGCCATGTAGTTCAGGCTGGCCTTGAGCTCACTTTGTAGCCCAGGCTGGTCTCGAACTCACACCGGTCCTCCTGCCTCAGCCTCCCGAGTGCTGGGATTACAGGTGTGCACCATGACGCCCACCCACAGAAGTTTTTTAATAAGATGAAATCCCAATTGTTGATTCTTTGTGATATTTTCTGTGTGATTGGGGTTTTGTTCATAAAGTCTTTGTCTACACTGATGTCTTCAAGAGTTCTACCTATTCTATCTTTTAGCAGATTATTTCTGTTTTCATAGTTAGATCTTTGATCCATTTCAATTTTAGTTTAGTGCAAATTGATAGATATGGGTCTAGTTTTAATCTTCAGTGTGTGGAAAGCCAGTTTTCCCAGCACCATTTATTAAAGAGCCTATCTTTCTTCCAGTGAAGGTGTTTGGCCCCTTTGTCAAAGATAAGGTGGTTGAGTATGTTTGGAGTTGTTTCTGCGTTTTCTTATCTGTTCTAGTGATCCTCAGGTCTTTTTTTTGCCAGTACCATGCTATTTTTATCACAGTAGCTTTATAGTATAATTTCAAGTCAGGGATTGTGATGCCACCTGCCTTGCCTTGGTTGCCCAGAATTTGTAAGAAGGCCCTTTTTATTGTATTGGTTCTTACTACCCAAGAACAAGGGATATCTTTCCATTTTCTGGTATGTTCTCTGAGGTGTCCTCCAGGTGTAGCTCACTTTTGGGTTTTGAGTCTGTTGCAAGATCCTACCTCTTTGCTGGGCATGGCGGTGCACACCTGTAATCCCAGCACTCAGGAGGCTGAGGCAGGAGGATCATTGAGAATTCAAGACCAGACTGGGCTGCAAAGTGAGCTCAAGGCCAGCCTGAGCTGCATACTGAGACCCTGTCTCAAAAAGACAAAAAAAAAATCCTACCTCTTCAATTTATTTGGGATGAGAATTTGCTGCCTATTTGGCCTAGCCCCTGGTTCTTTGGCACTGGCCTATAGTTTATGACCCTCAGGTAATCTCAGTCTTGGAGTACCAGAAAGAAAAACTGCTTATAACAATTACGTCACCTTGGCAAACATAGCACCTTCATAAGTTGCATCAAACACAACCTAGAAAATGACAAACGTTGGTAACTGTTAATTTGTTACCTTTAAGCACATGGATTAGATTTGTGGTTATATAAGAAAATCTAAGACAAACCAGAAAACTGTATATAGTAAATATGCCCTCAATATGATTTTACCCCCAGGGGAGAAAATTTAAATGAGGTTATAGGTTTAAAAAATAGAGAAAGAGGAAGAGATTAGAAGCAAGGCTGGAGGACAAAGGAAGATCATGCAAACTTTGTGGAACTGATGAAGAAGACAGGGACAGAAAAAAGAAAGAAATAAAAAGAACAAAACAACAACAATCCAGAAATAATGTTCACCTCAAAAACAAGAATAAATAAGAAAAAAAAAAAGAAGCAAAAAGAAAATGTCCACTTCAAGACATGTCCCTGCTGTCCATGGTAGAAAGAAGAGGCAGACAGAGCCCAGGTCTGTGTTGATTCATCCCAGCAGGCCAGTGGTAGATTCAAGGCAGGGTAATGAATAATCCCAGCAAGCCTGCACCTTTAGTTCCACTGAAGTTCAGGTTGGTTTCTAAGTGGGGGCTGGAACCTGATTGGTTCAGCCTGCAACACTCTGTGTGTCTCCTGCCACCTTGAGCTGGGCTCCTTGATCTTCTGATGACTTGAACTTGGTTCAGACTCAGCCTGACACTGGGAGCTGCTAGATGGAGCCAACCTTCAGTGGCTCTGAGTTCAGAGCTCAGTTGGTCCCTCGCTACAATGGCTACTGGCCTATCACACTCTCCTCGGGGACATCTGAACTCGAATAATCACTAACCACTGCAGCCCACTGCATCTGTGTGTTTCTCTGTGGAGGCCTCTGGTGTCACCAGTAGTCACCTTGCATCTGCAGGTTCAAGCTGCCCCTCCCTTGCAGCAAATGAGGGCTCAAGGAGGAAATGCCACTTGCCACCTTTTTCTTTAAGATCTCTCTCTTCACTCTCCCCATGGGCTTCAATTCCCATTTCAGTTCCTTGCTGGCTCTTGTGGACCCACTTACCCCTTGTTTTCCGTCTCGAGTTGTTATACTCCAATGTATGGACACTGAATCTCAGGCTGTTTCTCTGCTGTCACTACTCCCATCTTCACAGACGATCCTGTCTCTCTCTCTCTTTCTCTCCTTTTTTTTGGGGGGGGGGGCAATAGGGTCTTGCTATACAGTTCAGGTTGGCCTTGAACTCACCATGTAGTCCAGGCTGGCTGTGAACCTGTGGTGATCCTCCTGCTTCAGCCTCCCAAGTGCTGGGATAACAGGTGTGTGCCACCACCCCTGGCTGAGCTTTACCTTATCTTAAAGGAGTATTATGGGGCCATAAAAAGGAAGCAAATTCTAATCCATACCACAACATGGGTGAATGTTATGAGGACATTATGCTAAGTGAAAGAAGTTAGTCATCAAAAGACAAATACTGTATGATTTCATTTACACGAACCAGTATAGTAGTCAGAATCACAGACGAAAGAATGGTTGCTAAGAGAGGGTGAAATGAGTAACTTAAGGGTCAGCAAGTTTCCATCTTACAAGACAGAGATGGGGAACGGGGTAGTGATGATATTTGAACAAAATGATGAATCTTTGATAACGCAGAACTTATACTTAAAAAGGCTAAAACTGTAAACTTTGTGTATATTTTACCACAATAAGAAGAAAATTGAGAGAGAACATATCCAAGAGCAAGAAGAAGTGGGCAGGTAAGCTGGAAAAGGCTGAAACTATTTGTTAAAATAGTAGCAGCATCCAGTTTTTTTGTTTTGTTTTAAAGGATTTGTATAAGTCGTTGAAAGTACTATCTTCAGAACTGGTGCCTTGGCATTACTTAAAGAAACAGGATGAAAATGAAGGTATCAGAGTTGAAAATCTGTTGTTTATGGTGGATACCATGTTGGAAGAAGTTGAAAATAAGGAAAAGGTAATACTAATACTACATATTCACACTTAAAATTTTTTATGAACTGTTTGAGATTATTTTGAGAACTTTTTGCTTCTTTTAAACAGAACAGCAACACGCCAGACTTTCAAACTTTGCAAGCCATTGTCTCTCACTTCCAAAAGTTATTTGATGTGCCTTCCTTAAATGGAGTCTTCCCCCGAATGAATGAGGTTTATACTAGGCTTGGAGAAATGAGCAATGCTGTGAGGAACCTCCAAGAACTCTTAGAATTAGGTAATGAGCTTACGTTATCTTTGGCTCCCATTTAGGAAGTATTCCTTATAAATTACAAAAAATAGGTAAAAATTTTCAAAGTAAAAAAAAAAAAAAATCAAGGATAACTGAAGCATAAAATGTTTGATGGGTGCAGTGATTTTGGAAATTGCCTTTTAAAGTGTCCTATTTTATTTCTCTTTTGCAGATAGTTCATCCTCATTGTGTATGCTGGTGAGCACAGTTGGAAAATTGTGTAGGCTGATTAATGAGGATGTGAATGAGCAGGTTAAGCAAGTATTAGGACCAGAAGACCTCCAAAGGTATCTCTTTAAAAAATAATCATTTGCAGTGTTTGGAGTGGTATAATTAAAGATATTCAAACCTTCATGTTATTTACCTTCCCTGTTTGGAACAGCACTTTTAAAATAACCTGACACCCTAAGATAATCTCACATCCTTAGAAATAGAGAAAATGCCAAGTACCCAAGATAAAGTAGATTGTAGGGCCTGTAAGTTTTCGTAGCACGAATTAGATACTCTTCAACATACTCCTGTTCTCAAGGAAAACTACATATGGTGAAAATCAAACCTTTTAAACTACTTTGTGGGAGTTCTGATTATATTAAGAAGTCCTATTTTAGGACACGTCATAGACCACTGAATAATTACTAACAGTATACATAATATTTAATTAGAAGATGAATTTTAATGGTTTTTTAAAAGATTAGGCATCACTAACATAAGATCCAAGGTTTTCACAAATAATATTGAGGGGGGGTGGGTGTAGCTCCGTTATTGAATTTGTGCTTAGCATACATGAGACCCTGAGTTCAATCCTCAGTGCTGCCCCCCCAATTAAGACATTGTTAGCTGTACATAAAGAAACTTTTCCCAGCTCTCACCCCCAATTTTATACTGGAATATATAGGAAAGGAAAGTATATTCTGCTCATCTTCCCAGGAAGAACGCTTATATAATCTGGCATGTGAGTGTTTGGTACTCGATGCTGTTAAAAGGAACATACATTCCCACCATTGGTCTTTTTTCCTCTTCCAGTCGTTTTACTGACTATTAATGCTTTTTCTTCATTTTTAGTAGGAGTTTGGATATAAAGGTCTATGTATGGTTCACTAAGAAGTCTCAAACTAAATGGAAAGTTTGTCATGAATGTTACATAAATTTAACAAACATTTATGCTAATAATAAGATGCTTTTTTTAAAAAGTGATATTAGGTGAACAAAGAATTCAAACAACTGTAGTAAGTGATCATTAAGTGTATATTTAAATTAGTAGGATAGTTTCTTTCTACTTTGAAGATATTACTTGTGTCCAATCAAGTGCAAGGAACCCTAAGTTAGAAATTTGGAATAAACTGTGCATTTTTTAAACAGCATTATCAACAGACTGGAAGAACATGAGGAATTTTTCCCAGCATTTCAGGCATTTACTAATGATCTGCTTCAGATCTTAGGTAAGATCTCTGTTATTGGTAGTTAAATTTGACTCTTAAGATGTCAGTGAGTTTGGGAGGAGAGTGTTCTTTAATCAGCTGGATTAGTGGTTTTTACCTTGAGTGCCTGGTAGGTGTGTGGAACCCACTGATACTGTAGTTATCAAACACACTCCTAGCTTGCAGTTAGAGTTGTTTGGGATCAGTCCACAGAGCAGAGAAGCAGTGAGCCCGTAAGGAGATAGGGATGGCTCATCTACGTAGTTCAGGCTGTCCTTGACCTCACTGTATCCAGGCTGGCTTCGAACCTGTGGCGATCCTCCTGCCTCAGCCTTCCAAGTGCTGGGATTGCATGTGTATCCCACTATGCTTGGCCGTCTGTCATAGTCTAATAAGAAAACTTGGGGGAGGGGTGTTTTTTCTTAGTAATGGGAATTGAACCCAGGGCCTTCACACTGAGGTATATTTCCACACCTTTTCTGTATGTTTTATTTATTTAGGCACAGGTAGGTCCTTAAGTTCCCCAGACTGGACTTAAACTTGGAATCTTTTGGCTCAGCCTCGCAGAGTGCAGGGATTACAGGCAATGAGTAGATTCAAACTTGGTAAGATTAGTAAATGAAGGAACTGTCTGCCAGGAACATGTACAGTAGTGAATATGACAGAGGCTTTATGGGTTTTTTTTAATGGGCTGTGAAAGCAATGGAGACAGTGAGTGTCCCTTAAGTGTGCTAATATACAAGAAAAGGCCCTAGCAAGTCAAAGCATAACTTGAAGGGTAGATTTAAGCATGAAATTTGTATAAGTGTGCTGCCTAAAGTCCTGAAGAGCTTGGCTTCACAGAATGATTCTACTTATATTAGAATGGCCACCAACTTAATAGTGATGTACTAGTCACTAATAAATACCATCTTGCACATGAATAAACTCTAGGTGTAGGCCAGGGAGATGATAGTTCAGTACACAGCACCTTCCTGGCAAGAGCAAGTTCTGAGTTCCATTCCTGGTACCAAAAAAAAAAAAAAAAAAATAGGTATGCTTCCTACTCTTACTTTAGATCCTTTACAGAAACTCCCTCTCAGATGTAAACACTTAATCTGGTTCACATAAGATCATCTGCTTCAGAAAGCCAAGTTTCTTGGCAGATGAATTCTGCATTCTGGTCAGAGTTCAAATTATGGCTTAAGGGGCTGGGGATATAGCTCAGCGGCACAGCGCCTGCCTGGCAAGCGCAAGGTCGTGAGTTCGATTCCGGTACTGGAGAAAAACCAACAACAACCAAAAAAAACAGATTATGGGCTTAAATATTACGTTTAGCATTGGAAAGTTAGCTGTTTGGCAGAATGTTATTGTAATTTAGTGCAGAGTGGTGTACTGAATACCAGGTAAAGAGACTTTCTTCAATAGATTTTTAAGAATTTGTTTTTCTTAAAAAGTTGTATGACTGGCTGAGAAAATTCTCCTGTCAGCCAGTGTTCTTCTCTGTGAGGTGCATTTCTGTAAGTCGTTTCCCATTTAGTGAGAAGACAGGTGTGATTTCAGAATGAGGTGGGGGTGGGGAGCCAAGGAGTCACTTATCTTATACCTTCCACAGTGAGCCAGGTTCGCTGTTGTGTAAGTGGGTCTAGACAAGTATTCTGACTCTTAAGTCAGAAACTTGAACAACTGATGGATGTTCTCATTTCCTCTCACTTTATCACTAGAAAAAGTTTCTCTTCCTTATTATTCTTATTTTTCCATTACAGAAATTGATGACTTGGATGCCATTGTACCTGCAGTAAAGAAATTAAAAGTACTTTCATACTGAAACAAATCAAATCACTTTAGTGTGTAAATTGCATTTTTGCCATTCTAAGTATTCTGTAGGATTGGTCTTATTTTGAGACAAAGGGTATAAAATATATTTGCTTTCAGAATTCATCCTCTTAGTGTTGGGTGATTCTCCTTGTAATTTTTTTTTATTAACTTTAATCTTACAAAAAGTAGCTGCTAAGTTATTAAAATAGTAAGTTAACTCCAGATCCCTTGATCATTTTTTAAGCAATTCTTGAGTGCTTAGAATTTAGGGTAGAGTTTGTGAGTAAAAGACCCAGAGAGAGAGTATGTAAATAATAGAAAAGTTGTGTTTAAGTTCAGGGTTTGCTCACCTTCTGGTCAGGGCAAAAGGATTGCCAGGTCTAGTCAATAGTAAGCTACTGCTTTCCTGGCAAGGATTAACTGATATTCTGTTAAGGCATCTCTCGTGGCAATTGTCTTTTCAGAGCAGGAAGGAGAAAGGGAAAAAAGAAAAAAAATTGTATCTTTGTGTTAGGGTAGGAAGTGAATCATGGGGTAAAATAGATGAGTAGAAGGATGTTTGTCTTTTTTAAAGTCTTTTTAGCAATCTTGATGTAATGTGCTTTTTATAAGGCGATACAATTTCAAATAAAAGTTTTGTAAAAAAACATTTCCAAACCTAAGTGTCCTTAGTGACTTATTTATATTATTTACAAATAGTGAGTTGTACGCCTCCTAGACTGAGCTTTCCTTGGGCAACTGGTTTTATCCTGTGTGCATTTTACAGAGCACCATCCTGCCAAGCATGGCGGCGCACGCCTGTCATCCCAGTACTCGGGAGGCTAAGGCAGGATGGCCACTGTGAGTCTGAGGGCAGCCTGGGCTACGTAGAGAGAACCAGTCTCTAAAAAAAAAAAGACAAATAAAAAAGAGTACCATCCTTAGAGCTTTTCACTTCTTCTCTAAATGGACCAGGGTTCTGCATCATATTTATGAGTACAAACTACGTCCAGCTACCCTCATCCTCTTTTTTATAAGTGACAGGCCTAGGAAGATTTCTCAGTTCCTCTTGCCAGTTGGCACATAGGATACTATAGAGCATTTCCAGGAAGCAAGGTACAGTGAAAAATTGTTTTGGTTACTTTTTTTGTTTCTGAGACAAAACACCTGATGCCCAAAATTGAGAGAAGAAAGGTTTATTTAGCTCACATTTGTAGAGGCTTTAGTCCATAATCTACTGGCTCCAAGGCAGGGTGGCACCTGGCAGAGGGGCAGCAGTTCATGGCAGTAGAAGACAGCAAAGCAACAAGAGCAAAAGAGGCAAAAAAGAGTGAAAAGGGGGCGCGAGCCTCTTTCCCTCCCTTATGTTGTGTGCAGGCCACTGCCCAGGGCAGGTGCAGCTCTCACACCCATTATCCCAGCATCGGGGCGTGGATCAGTCACACACTCCAGAAGCCTGCCCCGTGACTGCACGAGGCTTTGAGGACATCTGGACACAAACCATAACAAGAATAAACGTCAGCAGACTGGCATCCCCACCCTTGGTGGTACAACCTTAGGCTTAGGGAGATACAATATCCTGGATTCCTTCTAAATTAAAATCGTTTTGTTAGCCTACAGTTACATTTCTAAACACTCGCCCACCAGTTGTAAAGAACATGTCTTGAGGATTGAGTAGAAATAGTATTTGAATATTTGATTGTATAAATACTCTGACAGTAATCGCAAGACATTGTTATGAAAGTTTGAATATTGGAAAGAAATATGTTCAAAATACTATTTTCATCTAAATTTTGTCAGCTAGTTCATGAGCCTGTGATTAACTCTTAGCTAACATAGCAGTTTGCAAACACTTCTGCAGAGGCCAGTGAGTGTCTGGGAGGTACCTGAAGGACCACTGGGAAGTACAGTGACCCTAACAGCAATAGCTTTAGGCTGTCCCTATCAGATCTGCTCTGAACCAACTTCTTTTGAAATTATAAATAAAAGTACTACAATTATTACTTAGCAATATTTAAATGAAAATACTTAAAATGTTAGAAAATTGATTTAACAATTTTATTGAGGTATAATTGCTATGTAAACTACACACTTGAAATACACAGTCCGGTAAGTTCAGATACAGATAGACAGATAAAAAGAATCAGAAACCATTACCACAAATTAGAAGATACAGAATACCCATCATTCCAGAAGTTTTCTTACTGCCTTTGCTAATCCTATCTTCTCCCATCCCTAGATGACATTTTATCTGCTTTCCATCATTACAGATTGCTATATTTTGTATGTCGTAGGGTTTAATTTAAATGGAATCATACGTTCTGTTCTGGTTTGGCATTCTTTCAGAATTCTTTTTTTCAGAAATTGAGATTTTTACATGTTGCATGTGTTAATAGTTCATTTATTACTGTCTTATTTTGTTGTATGAATAGCCCATAATTTGTTTACTCCTTCAGTCTATGAACACTCATTCATATGAACATATCCAGTGTCTTAGACTGTTTCACAAGTTTTGTCTGGTTTTGGGTTTCTTGTTGTATGTTATTTGGTTGTTACAGGCAGAAGGGTAAATTTGGTGTTTGTTGCTCCCTTCTGGCAAGAATACAGAAGTTTAGAAGTATGGGGAAGAGGCAGTGGTTTGAGACAGGGTATCACTGTGTAGCTCAGCTCGGCCTGCAACTCTCAGTCCTGCTGCCTGAGCCTCCTGAGTGCTGGGGTTACCGGCATGCACCACCATGCCCCTCTAGAATTAGGATTTGAAGTCTAAAAAGATAGAGTTTCTTGGATTGTTTCTACAATTTAAGATTTCACTTTATGTACTTGTTTATTTTGGTGCCAGGAATTAAAGCTAGGACTTTACACATGATAAACACCCGCCAAAGCAATATGGGCTCATAGATGGGGCTTTTTGGAGGTGGCTGGATCTAGGGTGTGTGAATGCGGATTAAGAGGGTGTAAATATGGATGAAGAGTGTTGATAACTAAATCAGTCCACTGATTGGTTTAGTGTAGTTCTGGGTGTGGGTTGTACCAACCAATAGGCTTGTAGCCTGGATGGAATATAAAGGGAAAGATGGAAGACAGACCTGCTCCCATGGGCTGTTTCTCTTCTGCTGTGCCACCCTGCCTGGGAGCCAGCCAATGGACTGAAACTTCTGAGCGAGCTACAATAAACCTTTCCTCCCAGCGAGGGGGAAAGTGACTTAAGAGATTGCCCAACCTGGTTTTTTTGGTTTTTTTTTTTTGTTGTTGTTGTTGTTGTTGTTGTCGTTGTTGTCTTTTTGAGACAGGGTCTCACTGTGCAGTTCAGGCTGGCCTTGAGCTCACTTTGTAGCCCAGGCTGATCTGGAACTCACAGTGATCCTCCTGCCTCAGCCTCCTGAGTGCTGGGATTACAGGCATGTACCACCTCTCCCAGCTTGGTTTTTTGTTTTGATCTAATTTTATTGCCTTATATTTTGAGAATGCAGTCTTTTTGGTATTAGTCTTTAGAATCTGTTGAGAATTTGTGGCTTTAGATGAATTTTTATACATGTTCTGTATGTTCTTAAGTCTATTTTCAGTATACGTTGTGCTATTGTGTTATTTAAATCTACGTTTATAATTTGTGCTTGATTTGTCAGTTTCGAGGAAATACTGACATAAAATTTCAAAATGTTTTACTGTGAGCCTCATTTTCTAAGTACATAAATTCATAGTTGATGTATTTTTCTGGTCTCTCTTGCTGTACATCACTGACTGCAGCCTCCAAAACAGTGAGCCAGAATGAACTTCTGGTTACACACTGATTATCTCAGGTGTTTGTTACAGTAGTGGAAAGCTGACTAACAGACTCGTCTCTGTTTCTGAATGAGCAAGACGTGCTTGCCAGTATATTTTGCAGGAGTCTGCATCCCTTAGAACACTTCTGCCTTCATAGTACCTTTCCTTTCTTGTGCAAATCTTAGTCATTTATTGGTTTGATGCTCCAGTGTTTTATATTTCACTATTTTTACCTTCAAGCTCCCATTCATGTCAGCTGTCTGCTGCAGTGCTTTCCTGTGTGCCCTGGATGCAAGTAGCAAGGGTCAGTGTTGTGGCTGACTCGTGTTCTCTTAGGGCTCCAGGCTCTAAAAGTATTCTAGTGTTGGTGGTTTCTGCTTCAGGTTGATGGTAGGTAACTTCAGACCCTGCGCTCCTGTAGGGCAGTTCAGCTGATTGCTTTTACCCGCTCCTGCCAACCTGTTCTTGTCTTCATTGCCAGGCAGGGTATTTTCTGTTGAGACAAACTTCTGAGGTGCCTTTCTTCCCGTCTGGTGTATACTAAAATTCTCGTTCCCTTTAACACTTTAACTTCTCATTTCACTCTCAAAATGTTCTGGTTTTCCTCTGTTAACCATTACTAGGAACTTTACCTGCATTACTTTTTTCTTCTGGGGGGCACCGTGGGCGATTTAACTTGTCTGTCACCTTGATCAGTAGTTACTTTAGGGTTGCTAATTTTAGGAGCTAATTTTTACAGTAAATTTCCTTATACTTCTTTTACTTTCCCATTTTTATTTTATTTTATTTTGTCTTCTTGAGACAGGGTCTCGCTATGCAGTTCAGGCTGGCCTTGAGCTCACTTTGTTGCCCAGACTGGTCTTGGACTTGCAATGATCCTGCCTCAGCCTCCCGGGTGCTGGGATTACTGGTGTGTGCCACCACGTCCAGCTGTACTTTACCATTTTTGAGGCACCTTTCTATTTAGAAAGCAGTTACAGTGTTGTCATGAAGTAGACGGGATAAGTATCATTTGACATAGTTTATTATGAGAATTGGTTCAAAATAGCACAGGTTTGGATGGCAAGGGTGAAAAACAACTCAAGTAGCAGATAGTTCAGTTGACATGTAAACTGAAACATAAATACCAGACATACATAACAGAGCTTAGCATGTGACCTTAGCTGATACCTGGTAAACATTTTTCAAGTTTCACTGTTGTAAGAATTGTTAAAATGAAAAATGCTATATAGGAGGTGAACAGGCCGTTTCATTGTGGGCTGGCTGAATGAAGGTAATGAATAAAGCAGCAGCAACCTGAGACCAGATTATCTCAGGTTATCTCAGAGGTAAACAAAGGAGTGGACTTCGATCTTCACAGAAAATTTGTGAGAAATAACAAGAATGTTTGGAATGTTGCTGTTCACTAGAAAATGGCAGTGGTGGGGACAAACGTATGACTGGTGGGGTGTGGCGGCACCCACCTGTAACCCCAACGTTCAGGAGGCTGAGACAGGAAGATTGCTGTGAGTTCAAAGACAGCCTCAACCGCATAGTGAAAGCCTGTCTCAAAAACAAAAAAAAAACCAACAACAACAAAAAACTTATGATGGGAGTGTTGTCTGAGTGCTAAGAGCAGAGGACATGACCTTTACAGTAGCGATAAGAACATCAGAGAAGAAGTCATTTGGTCTTTCAAGTTTGAAATGCGTAAGAGGCACTTTCCATATACAACTAACAGAGTACACTTTTAACATTATTTAAGTGAACCGGCTATCTCCTGGAAAAGTGGGACAGAATTCCCAAGCTTGTAGTGAAACTCCCTGGAGTCTCCGAAGCTCTGCGCTAAGTTCAGATCAGACCTGAGTTTAGCACTTGGCTTGAATGTTCCTATGACAGTGGATAGCCTAGGGCCATCCCCCAGCACGTGGAATTATACCCAGAGCATTTAGTATGTAATTATTCCATGGCTGTCATTAGGAAGATGCATTTTAGCTCCAAATCAGAGGCAGGAATAAATCTCCAACCACAGATATCACAGAAGGCAGCCAGAAGGGCTGTGGCAGTGCTAGCTGTTGGCTGGGTGGGGTTGGGTCAGTATTTCCACAGAAGTGCCATCCCGTGGTCAGTAACTGCCCAGGGGTAGCTGTTAGCTGCTCCAGAAACAGATCTCTCGGCCCTATGTCAAGGTCAGGACCCTTTCTGTGCACACATTCACTCAAGTCCTAAATCAAATGTGTATAATTACCTACCAAAGTAAACACACCATCACTGAAGTGTTGATGACTTATAAAAAAATACCCCATTTCCTTCTGGATTTGAACAAATCTAACCAAAATGAAGTAGTTCTTGTCTTTATACAACTCTTACCTCTTCCTATCCAGTCATACAGTTAAATTTTATAATATAGATCTATATTTTTCATCAGATGACTTATTTAAATAACTGTACATATGTACACATTCTAACACACGGGTGGTAATGGTACTCGTCAGCTTCTGGGCTGTCCGTCGGGAGTCAGCTCATACCTGTAAGATAAGAAGTGGGGTTTGCACTTGTGTTAGAAGGGCAGTGTTTTGTAGCTGTAGTAGGGTAAGATGTCCCTCTCTAGAGCCTGCAGTCCCATCTCTTGAGTTGGCCAGCAGAGTTCCGGCTAGAATTTATAGAAGCCACACGGGTGAGCTCTGCAGGCAGTAACGCTGTAGGGCAGTGCTGGTGAATCCATGGCAGGTGAATTGTATGTTTCTTCTAAACTAAAACTGCGGTGTTCAGATATATTTCAGTGTTGGTACTTTGTGATAGGAAAGTGAGTTGCACTTTGGGCACTTGTCTCTAAAAGTGCCAGGAGGTGTTAATCTGTCTCCAGTCTTAAAACGAAGTATTACTGAAAGGGGAAGAACTTTGGAGAGGAAATACGGGCAACTGAGACTATCTTGAATAGCACATTAACAATGATAAAGTAAAAAGACACGCTTACCACTGTGAAAAGCCTTTAATCAGGTCTTCTTTTGATAAATCAATCAGTACCTAAAGGGACACAGATAGTTCCCTTGTAAAACACTGCTTTAAATGGAAACACATTGGGATAAACCGAGTGGACTGTGAAAGGATCTCCTTGGTCTTAGATTTTCGGTAGCACTTCCCTTTCGGCTCCCAACTTTGGAGCCTCCCCAGAGGACAGTGCAGACACCGACCTCAGTATCCTGGGAAAAGGCAAGTTGCTCTTCGGAGCTTTACCTGAGCTTGTTTTCCGTTCTGAGTTTTTAAATGAACGTTACAAAAAGAAAACTTCTCTGTAAAAGGAGGGCTAACACCATCTACCTCGAGCGCTTTAGAGAGGTGAGTATAAGGTGTTTTTATAATACAGCAGGTGCAGAGTACTACACAAATCCATTTTTCAGTCCCCCCCCCCCCCCGGCATATTCCTGGGAGTTAATACCATGGCAGACATTCAAATACTTGTGGAACGCTGAATTTGGATTGAGTTAAAAGTTTATCATAGTCATTTATATTTCTGTATTCTTTAAACAATATGAAAAGCAAAAAGGTTTTTAAAGTCAGTTCTAGTACTGGCTGTATGATTTTGTCAGGATGTCTGCAGGGATCTGTTCCACCGCCAGGGTACCAACAGTACTTGTCTTGTATACTTACTTTCCCTAACTCCTTCCGTCTGTGTGAGCCGAGTGGCCTGCTATTTTTGACCGCAACATCTAGTGACCTCTTCATTACTTCTTCCATGGGAACAAAAAATTCAAATCTTGAAGGAGCAAAAAAATTCAAGAAATGAGATTTACGTATTTCAGTCACTTTGGTTGAAACTTTGAAGTGTTTCATCTACTCCCCAACTAAAACAGAGCCACAGATGAAGAGCAGCTGGAACAGCACTGGCTCATAGCGCATCCACGGAGGACCTCCGTGCGTTGGCCGTAGATAATTACTGTCCTGTGCTGTTCATGAACCCTGGCAGTAGAGAGAGGCCTTTCTGAGAAGTGCCTCTTGAAAAACAGCAGCTGCCTTCTGTGGAGCAAGGCAGAGCAATCTCTGTCAAATACTCATAAGGGACCCTGGAGCCCTTATATCTGGGTTTATTTTTAAGGTGGGGGTGGCCAAGTCTGTCTTCCAGATTCTTTTGAAAGAATTGAGAAACTAACAGATTATTTGTCTTAAAAGTCAAATGTTAAACCTATCCCTACATTTCCTAATAGCATGTGTCAGAGCTCTCTTGGGGTCAGTCTTCGTGTGGCTTTAGACTATACGATGGTGCCTAGCATAAAGTAGTCAGTAAATACTGAATGATACCCTTTTCCTAACAGGCTTTATTGACAAACTCAAAGCACAGCTCTTGCAGGAACATAGTAGTTCTTAGACATGGTCAAAAAGGAACCAGCTACAACCCTTTTAAAGTAAGTACTGACCAAAATTAGGAGGTGTACCATCTTCCTAAGGTGGCTAAAATCAATTATCTTAGGACGCTGAAACAGAAGGAATGGTGAAATTCTGACTTCAGCTTGTGGATTATCAAGACTGAGAATATTTGAAAGAAATCTTGCTACGTGGTTAGAATCTGCCAAGCAGTTTTCTTACTAAGGACATGGGTGGAGAAGGGGAAATGATTTGCCTCACCTGCCATCGCTTCTGTTGCAGGAGGGCCAAAAGCTTTGAGCCTTGGAGGAAATTTTACGTCCTTAGGTTCTGTTAAAACAGATCCTCCAGAAAACAAATTTTGATCAAATTCAAATCCTCTTACTGCCAAAAAATACTTAAAGAGAATGCATATAGAACATTCCATAATTAGAAACACTTTGGTCCCAATGGGCTATTAAATGTGGGTAGCCTTTGTGATACACTGCTCTGGAAGCTCTTTTCTCCCACTGAAAAGTATGTAGAAGCTTCACTATGTTCATCAACAGCCCTGACCTCCTCCAGCACCTGGCAGTCCGCCAGACACAGCACTCAGCACCCAGCAGCCCTTGATCCTGCACTCGAGGCAGACCCACAGCCCACTCACGTCTCATCAAACAGCGGCTCCAAGGTCTTGCGCTTCACCGAGGTCTTCTTACGACTTGCCCACCTCCTTTCTGGCAACAAGTAGACGCGGACGTAGGGATCAGCTCCGCTGCTGCTACATGGTGTCAGGTTTCTGATTTGTAGGAAAAAAAGGCCCTTGGATTTCAACACTGAAAATAGTCATTTGGGAGAGAACTAAACATTTGCCTTTAGATGGGCTTGAGAATAAACACCTTTTGTGGTCTACATGACCAAATCATGAAAGTCTCCAGGATTTAGAGAACAAAGTATCAGATGCACAGTATCATATACATTTATATGGTTTGAGGTAGACCAAGTACTTTTTCCATCTAAGGTATTTCTGCTTGGGAAAATCTACAGGCTGTCAGCCAGCCCAGGACGGTTTTGCAGTGGTTGTGTCTTAACACAGCCTCTGCCTCCTGAGCCCATCCACACTGATGAATAACCACTCAGGCGTGCCCTTTCCCACTCACGCAGATAGGCCTCTAAATCTTACTTCTTCCCAGTGTGTTACTGCCTTGGGTCTCCTGCATGCCCTTGCTATTGCTGTAAGTGCCCCAACTTTGATTTACGGTGCCCTGATGTGTCCAAAAAACCTTCCTGTCCCACAATCCCTTTACCTGCAGCCATTGACCAGCACCCTGAGGCAGCGCCACAGACACACGTAGCGCACTGTGAGCTGGATCTCACCAAGCCCTCGCTGTCTGCCGTTGCCAACTCTGTGAAGAAAGAACCTGTCACCTCTCTCATAACAGGTGCTAACCCTCTCTCAAAACAAAAGCATGTCCTACTTCAGGAACATAGAGCCGCATGGGTTCTTCTGTCTCCTTCTCAGTTCCTTCCCCTCGGAAGTTGGTTCCACCCAGCATCAGATAATAGCTATCCTGCTTTGCAGTAGGAGGGACACAAAGCCTGGAATACATCTGCCTTGGTATCACAGATCTTGGGCTTTGGGTCAGTTTGATTTTTGTGATACTAAGTTCTCTTTAGGGTTATGGTGAAGACTGAATTCAATCAGATAAAACCAGTGGCAGCCACCTGTTACCTGATTCCACAGCTTAGGCTTTGCGTACCATTACACCATAGTGAATTCAGGAACTGTTTCTGAATTCAGGGACATTAACGGAAGCCCAGCATCCATTTTATAGTCAGTATGTAGCTGGAGCCCTAAGCCAACAGACCAGCGCTCGTCCTTGTCCTGGGTTTTCTACCACCCCGTGCTGCCTCTCATGAAGATACTGTATTCTGTGGAAAAGCAGATCTCCCACAGGTGTTTAAGTTCCTGTCTACTGTCCAGGGAAATCTTTTTCATGCAGGTGATACTAGAAAAGATTAAGCAGAGAGGTGCATACTCAGTGTTGAAGGTGGTATCTGTCAGGTCAAAGCAGGAGGAGGCCAGGGAGTTGAGCGAGGACATGCTGGGACCCAGACCCTTGGGCGGCCATGCAAACGGGGATGCAGGGGCCCTGATGGGTCTGGGTGACTTGATGGGCCCTGGAGAATGGGGGCCTGGGACAGTCAGGAAGATGGTGGCTGAGCTCCTCTTCTTCCCCGTGGGCTCACAGAACCCTTTGGCACTGTCCTTGCCTTTGGGCTCTGGGGCTGTCTCTGGGGTCACAGGGTTGGCAGCAGCGGTGGTGTCTAGGGCACTCCTGGAGGCATCCATGGCATCAGAAGCAGGCTCTGGAGGACACAGCAAGTCTGCAGGGCCTTCTCCCTGGGGCGGGGCTTGGGGACCGTGGTCGGTGGCCACCTTCTTGATAAACAAAGGGCCTTTCTTCTGCGCTTCCGGTCCCGTGTACGGGCTGCCCAGCTCTCGTTCCTCTACGCGCAGAAACTGGAAGCAGATGACGGGGTAGTTTATGGGCCTGGCCCGCCACGTCTACAACCCCGGCCATAGTTTCCCCTCAGTCATCCATCCCGAGACCCTTCCTAGGGAATTTCATTTACAGAAAGTACCCTAAAAGATTCGTAAGAAAGCCAAATTCGTAAGAAAGCAAGCATAATTCTTTTTAAAAAGAGAGAATGGAAAAATAAAAGTGGAGCTATTCTTGAGTCAGCGTGGGAGTTACACTGAGGTTCACGAAGGTGGGATCTCTGTGAAAAAGTGCTGAGCAAATAAACGGGAACCAGAGGCGAGGTCAGGAGACACGGGAGACAGATGAGAAGGTCCAGTAGAGAAGCCCTGAACCGAGGGATTAAAGAACGGGCAAAGGCAGTATTTGCAGAGCTGACTGAAGGAGGTGAAGCCCCTGGCTGGAGCTTCTGGGACAGCTGCACTCTCCCTGGCCCCAGGGAACAAGAACGACTTACCCGCAGCACCAGCCTCATGGAGATGAGGCTGTCCAGGCCCGAGTGGTCCAGCTGGAAGCGCTGCTCCAGCGTGAGGTCTGCGCTGGGCAGGATCTGGCACAGGGGGAGCTCCAGCACTCCCAGCGCACACTCCAGGTCGTCATCCAGCACCTGGGCAGAGACCGGTCACAAAATGAGAGGATGGCTAACCCTACCTGCACCACCCCTACCTTCTGGGCCCCAGACAATCTGGGCTTGCTTCAGTCCATATTTAGCATCTGGTCCTTTTCTGGAAACAGGTAAGGGGCAAGGCCAGACCTGGTCTCTGCCTACCTCTGGGTAAGTGCATGACTCAGGGTGGACGTGAATATGGCTCTTCTGAAGCCAGTCAGGCAAATGCCCAGGGCCACAGGGGCTTAGAGGCCCGTGAGCTGTGCTGCTTCATGAGGAGACACCCAGGCAGGACTCAGGATCCCAAAGGACCCCAGCTTCACCACTTGTTGGTCATGAGATCTTGGGCAAACCGCTGATTTAGCATCTATTTGCTTATATATATAAGGAGCCAATCTCTTCCAACAGATTTTTTTATGAAGATTAAATGAAAAAACTTGTGAAGAAGTATTCCATTATAATGTCCCGCAGAGACACCAAGATAGGCCACAGTGGGTGCTGCGTAACAGTCCCTGTTCAGGTGGAGCCAAGGTACTTGAGGGGGTTTGTCCTCCCAAAGCCGCCTACCCAGTGACCTTGGGCACCAGCCTCAAGGAGGTGCGGCCTTGTGGGGCCTCAGCGCCCGCTCCCACACAGCAGAGGCTGACTAAATACTGCCGGAACCTGCTCCTGGCTCAGAAGCCCGCCAGTTTAGAAATCTCTAACTCTGCCGCAAGTGCCCAGCTTCAAACCTTCAGATGGAGCTGCTCAGCTGCCACGTTGTGCACGAAAAAGGAGAACACCTGGCTCCACACAGGGTCCTTGCTGCGGGGACAGGTCTGAGGACAGAAGAGCGAGGTTGCTGGACGTCAGGTGGGGCCGTGCTTGACGCTGGCACGCTCTGCTGTCAGTCTGGCCACCGCGCGCCAATGGGAACCTTCCCTGCACCCAGGGATCAGACCCACACTGCAGCCAGGGGACACGTGAGGGCAGGAGGCTGCACTCACAGGCAAGGAGGGCTTTGCCAGAAGAAGTACTGGGGGCTGAAAATTGTACTGTGGTGGGAGCTCACTTTGGGGGAGGGGGCCGACAGGATGTCGCGCTGGACTGGGCTCCGTGGTGTGGTGGGAAGGACATCGGCTCTAGAACCATGCTCGCGCTTGAACCCTAACTCCCTTGCTTTGTAGTACTTCTCTTGCGCAAGTCAATTAGTATCTCTGATCCTCTGAGCTTGAACTATAAAACTACTTTGTGAAATTATTGTGAGGCCTACTAAAATAAAATAAAGTGCCTACTGGGTGTTCAGGGCTTCCCCAAGGCCTGCAGTCCACACTCTTACCTTACTCGTGTACGTCTTCTTGCCGACAGATAACTTCACATAGGAAGAAGGGTCTCTGCTGCCCTTATTCTGCGAAGCAGGAAAGCACACGCGATTAAAGATGGTGCCGTCAGTTCTGCTAGAGTTCCTGCCCCCACCATCAGTGGCCCTTGGAGTGGCGCCTGCTTCCCTTGGAGAAGGCTCCCTGGCTCTCGGCCCTAATTATGCAATTATTTAAGGACAGGGTGAGGTTCCAAGTTACAAATCCGAGGCCGAGGCCAGAGCTCGCCCTGGCTGGGAGCAGGCTCCCCCTGGGGCTCCAGAAACAAACAGGGCGGAGTCACGTTCCAGCTCCTCCCTGGACCCAGGCACCTAATCTTCTGGGTTCATAAACTGGCAATACAAACCGACTATAGTCACCAGCATAGTGAATGGGGAGGAGATGCCAAGCCAGCGCTCGGGACACGGGAGACAGTGAAGGGAACCTGCACCTCCTGTCTTCCCGGGATACTTTGTCATTTGCCCCGAGTTTTCTGCCCACTCACACTTACCTTGGCAAATCTGGAGAGTTTTTTGGCTCGATATTCACCATTCAAGTAGTCAAAGGGGCTTCTCTGCGGCACAAGAACCGGGGTTAAATTAACACCTCGGAAGTTTGAAGATGATATATACCAGGGAGGGGGTGTGTGACACTCACCGGCAGGTTGCAGGCATTCTCCAGGAAGACCACCAGGATGGCAGTAGAAAGGCCACCATGGTCCTGGAAACAGACACAAGCTCTCACCGAGTGGCCCCCGCGGCAGAGAAATAGACCGGTTGTAGAGACGCCTGCTCACGGCAGGAGGAAGCCGGCCCTCACACTCCAGACTTCCCACACCTCTCCCACCTCCTAGACTCGCTGCAGCTCAGAACATGACTGAGGCCTGACAGACCCAAGTTAGACACAGGGTACACTTCCCTGTGGACTAGCATCACGGGCATGGACAAGAGCTCTAAGGACCTCACTCTTCCTCAACATGACTGAGCTGCTCAGAGGCTGTTGCTGAGGTAGACCGGGGCTGCCTGGGTGGAGAAAGGCGGCTGGATGACCTATTCTCCAGGAGGTGAGCAAGAAGCAGGGGCTTCACCTCCTTCCCTTCTTCCGCCGCACGCACCCTGCACACGCGCCCCCTTCTGCTAGGGAGCCCTTGACGCTCACCTCCGTCAGCGCCTCCTGGTCAGCGAGCAGTGAAAGCCACTCCAGCCGCAGGTGCAGCCGTCCGCTGGTTGTGTCATTGAGGACAAACCACTGGGGTGGAGCAGGAGAGAAAAAGCTCAGGGACACAGACAGGGACATGCTGTCAAGCCTCTTGGGGTCACTCGCACCTGGGGGCTGGTGGACCTAACAGGGGCTCCAGGGAAACCCAGACAGGGCGCAGCGTGGGCTCAGCAGGACGGGCAGGGATAGCGGTGGGAGGGCAGAAATAGTGTACTTTGGGATGGAAAACGCTGGCCCAGCCTGTCCTCCCGTGATGTGACTGCCCCCTGCTGGCCGTCCTTACTCTGGGGATGAGGGAGTGGCAATCCCTGGAACCAAATATGCCTCATTCAGCTTGTCTCTGGGCATATGCACAGCCTAAAAGGGGGCCCATTTCATAGGACTGGCTTGGCGGAAGCAACCTGCTAGAGCTGTCTGCAGGAAGGGGGCTACACCGAGAACCCCCAGGGGTGCGGGCACCAGGGCTACCTCATCCACCACTCTGCTCGTCATAACATCGCCGAGGCAGATCTGCAGGCTGGAAGACACAGGGAGAGGGAGTCAGCACAACTCAGGTGGCAATGCACAGAGGTCCTGGGGGCCCAGCCTGGAACCTGTTTTCAAGTACCTGAGTGGGGCCCCTAAGACTGGATCTTATGCATCTCCAGGCACCAACGGGACACCAATTCTACCTCAGATGAAGAATCAGCTAACATCAAGCTGATCCATTGGGCACAGGCTCCCCAGGGGGCGGATGGCTGCCAGGCCCAGACAGGACACGCAGAGGATGCTGCACACGAGCCTCTGGATTGCTCAGCTCTTCTTTGTACAAAACCGCTCATGCGCTGCAGGAATTTAGCATCCCGGTCCCGTGCCCTCTGGATGCTGCGGCACCACCCCTCCCCCCGCGGTCATTTTAACAGACAAAATGCCTGCTTTGATTTGAAGTGCTCAGTGCAGATGGCATGTACGTGAGAGAGGAGGGCACTCCCATATCATAGCATCCCTCGGACCACCCCGAGCCAAGCCCACCAGGAGGTCCTGACAGCCAGAGGGAAGCACGTCGTTTCTGTGTCACTCACTTAGAAATGTGCTTGAGCTCAAAGCACCAGAATGCAAGGCATAGGTCGCAAACCAAAATTCTAACCTGCAACACTCTAAAAACTGCAACTTAATTTTCATTGAGATGAAGATAAAAGTAAAAAGCAAGACCTGGTAGCAAACTGTTTCTTCAGCTGTTAGAGTGTCTCTCTCCCATTTGGTGTGTTTCTGCTTTGCATGGTACACACACACACAAGCACAGCAGTACAGGGTGTGGAGACATGGCACCTGCTGCCCGAGGCCAGGGCGCTAACGTCTGTTGTGATGCTCCTGCTCGAGGACACGGGTGAACATGCACCCGTGGGAGCCTCTTCTGGAGAGATGAGCCCAGCCACGCAGTACACCTCCACTTACTCACAGATGGCCTCCCATCAGTACACACAGATTCCACTGGTTTTTTGTTTGTTTGTTTGGTTGGTTTTTTTCTTCTGGTACCAGGAATCGAACTCACAACCTTGCGCTTGCCAGGCAGGCGCTGTGCTGCTGAGCTAAATCCCCAGCCCCTCCACTGAAAGCTGCAGGATTTGAAAGCTGCAGGATTTGAAAGCTGCAGGATTTTCTGTCACTGGGCAATGGCAAAGGTATTCAAACATTCAGCCAGGGCCCTCTGCCCCTGGCCATGTCTCTGGGATGAGGAGGGAGTCTGTTTTACTACCACAGATACCAGAATAAGCATCTTAAATACTCATGCTCTTATTTTACAGAATCCTGGAAGGAGGACTGTTCTTAGACATGTAAACTTGAGGTGATGCTAGCCAGCCACACCCCAGCCAGTATTTCCATATCCTTGAGGGCTCAGCTTCCCCGGGGTTGGGCACCTGGCTATCCATGCCCGCCTGTCTCACTGCTCTGGGAGAACTCTGGGGAAAAAGCAAAGCACAGATCTCGGGGTCCTGTCTGTACCCCAAGGGTCTATACCAGGGCTGGGGGCTCAAGACACATCTGGGAAGGCTTATGGAATGGTGAGGTAGGGTGTCTGGGCAGAGTCACCATGTCGGAGGGTTCCTGCGCCCCACGGCCTAGCCCAGAGCTCCCAGCCCAGCCCCACCCCTCCTCACCTCCCCAGGAAGTCATCCTTGTCGGTATCCTCATCATACAGGTCCACCTCCAGGTCCTGACCAGGGACTTCGTACACCATGAACTGGAAAGAGAGCTGAGTGTCTCGCCTTGCAGGTCACAGCGGTTGGGTCAGCCCTTATGACCCAGAGGGAGCCCAACGCTGGCTTGGTACCCTGGCAGGTTTCTGGTTGTCTCAATGCCCTGGAACCCCACCTGTAAGAAGGGAGCAGTATCTCTGCCCTGCAGGCTGCCGGGATTAGAGGATCAGAGGCAACGCGTGCGTACCCCAGGCAGTAGGTGTCCCGGGGACAGTAGCTATTGCCCACTCTGCATCAGGCTTAAATCTTCCAGCGCACTTGCTGTCACATTCCCCTGGCCTCACAGCATGGGACACCAGAAAACTCAGTTGCCTTTATCACCGTGTGTTCACTGCCCCCACCCAGACAGCAGAGCATGTGGATGGCATGTTGGGCGGGGAGGGTGGGAGACGGCACCTCAGAGGTGGCCTTGGAACACGGAACTGAGGGGTCTTCTGAGTCCTGCCTTCAAGTAGGAAGACCACAGCTGAACTGAAGGGGAAGGCCGAACTGCCTGAGGGACCTGACTCATGGGGAAAGGAGGGAGGGGCCATTTGCAGGCTGCAAATGGGGGCGGGGGAGGCAGAGGGGCCCGCTTCGGAAGCCTGCTGTAGGGGAGCAGGAGCTGCGTGGACCTGCCTGCCCGCCCCCAAGGCTCACTCGCCTGACCATGGGATACCTGTTTCCCTTGGCTATGCCCAGTGAGACCCTGAGTGAAGCCTGCAGGCACCGAGAGGCCGCAGAGACTCTCACCTCAAACACCTCATTCCACGTGGGATTCAGATTCTTGTAGATGGTCCTGCTCCGGAAATGCTGCAAGCCGATGCTCACCTTGGCGTAGGGGTCTGACTTGCATCCGAGTCCCAGGAAGTTGTCCTTCTGGGCCAGCTTCTCGGCCTCCAGCAGGTGCACTCTGATCACCCCCTGGAAAATGCCCCGGCCCCGGGCTCACAGCTGCTCCCCGGGCCGGGTCAGCCCTCTGGGACCAGGGCTCTCTCCACCACACCAGGGCCTTTCGGCCCATGCCCGCCTCCACAGACACCCCAGTGGCTCACAGTGGTGCCTCGGTTCACGACCTTAATTTCTTCTACAATTTTGGAAAAGATGGCCATGTTTGTGTCTTTGTGGAAAAGATGTCCACAGTCATGTTTGTCACCCAATGCAGTTTGCAAACAAAAAACAAAATTTTGCCAAATACTTCTGTTTGTGAACCAAACTGTTTGCAAATAAAAGCGTTCGTGAACCGAAGAACCACTGTATTCACCTGCAGCTATTTGTCCCTCCTGTGCCAACAGCCATGTCCCCTGAGGGGACTGAGTAGCCCGCAGGCAGACTGAGTCCGAGCATCACCTCTTCTCATACCTGGTGTACCATCTTGTGGGCACTGCCAGCTGCTGGTTCCGTCACCCCACACATACCCTGTGCTGTGCTACCCTTCCTTCATTCACATAGCTGGTTGGGTTTTTTTGTTTGTTTTTTGTCTTTTTGAGACAGGGTCTCGCTATGCAGTTCAGGATGGCCTTGAGCTCATTTTGTAGTCCAGGCTGGTCTCGAACTCACAATAATCCTCCTGCCTCAGCCTCCCAAGTGCTGGGATTGCAGACGTGCACAACCACACCCAGCCACATAACTAGTTGTTAAAGACAGTGTTTTTGGTAATTATGGCATGGGTGGTGGTGTTTGTACTGTTATTTGGGGGCTGTTGTGCATGTAGTGTGGGTTAAGCCAATGCACCCCCATGGGAAGGCTGAGGATGGATGTGCTGCCTCCCCAGCAGCCTGTCTTCCTGGGCCCTGCCTCCGCAGGAGTCTGCAGCAGGCTGAGTGTGAGCAGAGGTGATGCTTTGCACTTCCCCGCACCCTGGTGCCCTGACTCCCAGTCCCTCGGGGTTCTGCCCATAGCTAGGGCGCTTTCTGTAGGGAGGCCAGGTGACTGTCCCCCGGGCCTCCTGAGCAGGCTGCAGGATATGGGAACAATAGGGCTTGGCACCCACAATGTACCAGTCTGGGCTTAGCCATGGGGTCCTCAGTAGACCCCAAGGTGCTTGCAGCTACCAAGCGGAGAGGTAAGAGGAGCTCCCTGAGGAGAGGAAGGGGCTCCTCGTGTTCACAGGGCACGACTGCCCACAGTCCCCACAAAGCAGCGTGGGGAGACCAGGAGCAAGGGAAAGAATGTGTCTGGGCCTTGCCCCTCCCCACACAGGTGGCCTCCGGCAAGTCATTCAAGCTCCCAGCCTCCGACTCGGCTGTGAACTGGGGATGCCATCCTTCACAGGGCAGGCCAAAGGATCACCACTGAATGCATTTCAGGATGCCCACCCTCCCAGCGGCCCCTCCACACTGGGCCCAGGGCTCTGCGGCAGGCACTGGGCACTCACACAGGGCAGAGGGAAGCGCAGGTTGGTCACGTCCAGGCCCTTCTTCACAGGTACGGTCAAGCGATTGGGCAGCACCAGGTGGGCAGCTATGAGGTCCTCCAGCAGGCCGTCTGATACCTCACTGGGACACCAGGCATGACCAGCTGTGGAGGAGTGACACTCCTTCCCCCCTGCCACCGGCCCCCACCCACCCTCAGTGCTGGAACCAAGAGCTCAGCTTCGCAGGGTTCCCACCCAGAGGCAATCCTCACCCCTTGCAGCCTGGTGGGTACACTGAATGACAGGCCCTGGGGTTCTGCGCCAAGTAGCTGTGCCCCCACCTCCAAGGCAGCAGAGCAAGATGGCCAGGAGCAAAGGCTGGAGCCCGAGTTAGAATCTCAGCTCCTCCACCCCTTAGCTGTGCAGTCTTGGGCAAGTCACTCCCCACTTCGGACCTCGTTTCCTCCGTTCCCACCGTGAAGGTGACAATGCCTGCCTCCCGGTACTTGTGCATGAGGTCATAAAAGTGCTGAGAACAGAGCCTTATCCACAGGAAATGTTCCCTAAGTGTGCCTTCTGCTCCCTAATGCCACATGGATACTCTCCTGCTTACCTGCTGCCCTCTCCCCAGTACAGGGAGGCAACGACAGGGCCTAGGCAGGAGTGGAACACAGTAAGTGCTCAAGAAAATGTTTTTGAAATAAAGAATGCACAACTAGATTGTCTTCATCCAAATGGCAAGCTCTGTGGGGAGATCTGCAGTGACTGAGTGAGTATGTGGCAAGACACCTGACACCTGTTTGGCCCGTCCAGGTGCCCCGCCCTCCCGGGGACGGGTGGCCAGTGGGGCTGGAGCCCTCCTGTGAGCAGCGGCTCCAGGAAGGTGGGCTTTGAAAGCAGTTTCTCACGGGCCCCTGCTGTAACAGCCCTCTCCTCCCACACCGATGTTCGCCGCCATTAGGCCGCCTGGGCTTCCTCCCACAGACTGGGGTGGAGGGGAAGGGAGGGGCTGAAGTGAAGGGGACATTCGCACGTGTCCAGATCCAGTGTCCCCCCCAACAGCCGATGTTCTCCCAGGGACCTCAAGACAGAGCACTGGGGCTCCCCCGGTACTGAGGAAGGGCCCCGAGAGGTAAAGCCCCTTGTCCACAGTCACAGATTAGCTCAGCGACAGAGCCAGGAGCGGGCTGGGGCTGTGCTCACCCCTCAGTAGCCCGTGGGGCCTCCTCTGGGACATCTCGTCTGATCAGAGCCACCGTGGCCTGCCCAGGACAGGGGCCTGGCTATCCCTCAGCCCAACACTGAGCAAAGCACTTCTTGCCGTGTGTGTGTGTGTGTGTGTGTGTGTGTGTGTACACACATGCACATACTGGGCGAAGACCTGCTCACAGAGGCTGCACGACCCCATTAGCCTCCCACAGGATTTTCCCTCTGTTGCTGCCCGCCTCTCCTGCCCTCTTCCCCACATTCAGAGTAGCTCCTGGCCCAGACAGCAGGGCCCTGAGGGCCCCACACTTGAATCCTGGAAGTCCTGGCACTTACTTGATTCCGGGTGCATCCAGCAGGTTGGTCAGGCCTGTCCAGTTGATCTGCAGGTGCTACAGGGGAGAGGGAGGCTGTGAGGCTACAAAGAGCTGGGAGCCCAGGGCTGACATGCCCGCTACCACCTGACAGAGAACCCTGCCGGCCAGCGGGGACGGGGCCGCCCTTTTGGAATATCAGGTAGCTAAGGACACTTCCTGGTCTGGCTCTCAGGCCTCTAGGCTGTGGAGCACCCAGGCCTGGGCTCGGGATGGGGCCTGGTGTCAGGCCTGCTGCTTCCTGCCAGGACCACGAGGGGAGGGCAGCCCATATAGCCCAGGCTGGGCTAGATTTTTAACAAGCTTGGAGTTTTTCTCAGCAATACTTCAGGCCCCTGAAGTGCCCTGAACTCAGCTGCCTCATGATGGGGAAGTCATCATCTTAAGTCTAACTTCTCCGGCTGGCCTGAGGATGAAATGAGTCGGGGAGGCCGCTGTGGGCAGAAGTAGTGTGTTCTTGGGCTCAATCCAGTGTCTGAGGCCCAGTGGACAAGGCCTGCTCACAGGGAGCAGCGGGCCTGCTCCAGCCCTGGGACTCACTGGCTTTTGAAGGAAGAATACGGTCACGGCCCCCACAAAGGGCTTGTCCACCAGCAGGGGCTCCAGGATGATCCGCAGGGTGCCCTGCAACTAGACAGGAACGAGAACCCGTGAGGAACCCGGGCTCCTTTCTTTCGGTGTCCGCTGTGCTCAGCGAAGGCCATTTCTTCCTCATTCCCCCCACCCCCCCCGAGAGGTCCCACCCACAGCCTCCCTGAGTGTCAGGACCACCTGCCCCAGCCCACCTGTTGTCACCAAGGGGAGCACAGGACCCAGCAGGGACCCCACCGCCAGCCACAATGGGCCATGAACTGGCTGGCCCAGATAGAAGGGACCCAGAAGAGTCTTGCACCCCAACACCGGTCATTTCTCCCTCCTGGGTCCACCTGAGTTTTACGAAGGACTCTGCATCACTCCAGAAGCAGCCTTACCTCCCCCAGCAGCCAAGGAGTTGGGGACTTTGCAGACTGCAGGCCCTGGGGCAGAGCAGCGATGAAGCCCAGCGCCACCTCCTGGCCAATGCCCAGCCTGTGCTCCGAGTCATCACCGCCGTTGCTGCCGGCTCCAGCAAAAGCTCGCTTCCCCTTCCCTGACCCAGCCCAGCGTTGGGTTCCACCCACCTGGATGCCATTCACACCAGCGTGTATCTTCTGCAGCTCCACACTGATCTCACAGTCTCCGATGTAGCTGGCGTGGGGAGGAGGCAGGTCCACCCGCTTAGAGAGGGTAGGAAGCTTGCCCAGTATTACACAGAGCCCCGGGCCTCGCCGCTGGCCAGCAAGCCTGAACTGTGTCGCCCTGCATGTGGCTGCCCCAACAGCCTCAGCAGTTTTCAGCTCTGCTCAGACTCAGCCTCATGAGGCAACTACCTAGCCTCCTGCGCCTGGGAATCCCTGGCCGAGACAGTCTGACCTGGGATCAACGACGGGGCGCACTTGCCCTATGGCACCACCCCTGCACACGCTAGAGGCCACTCCTGAATGGGACAGGCAGTCTCACAACTGGCTCACAACAGCTGAAAAGGTGGAGCTCTTGGTAACTCTGCTGCCCCCTCCAGCACTGCTGCATCCCTGCTCTGCCCCTGCCTGGCATCCGCCCTGAGGACACAGGAGCAGCCCCCTTGCCCGGATCCAGCCATCACCCCAGGTTTTTGCTGGGGCGGTAGAGGTAGGCAATGGTAACAAGGCCTCAGGCTGCAAGAACAGAAGTCTGACTCCAGTTGCTAGGTGCAGAAGCCAGGGTGGGTGAGGATCAGGAGACTGTCAAAGGTCTGCAGGAGAAACCCAAGGCGAGGGAGCAGGCAGCCATCACACCCACAGGACGGGGCAGAGGGGCCTGCTGTCATGAGTCACGGAAACCCTGAGCGCCCCTTCAGTAGGGGCAGGCAGGATGGGAAGACAGCGACTGCAGGCACTGCTGAGCGTCCGAGTGGCCAGGTGCCCTCCATGTGCCCTGTTATTCCTGCATGGATCTGTGGCTAAGCCTCACAGCCAGAAGCACCTGGTTGCCTGGCACCACCCCCACACACTAGAGGCCATTCCTGAATGGGACAGGCGGTCTCAGAACTGGCTCCTGTCTCCCCAGTGTGTTCTCAAGGCCAGCCAAGGACAGCACTGGGTCAAGACAGGAAGCAGGGGACACCGGAAGGGAATAGCAACACTCTGGGCCCTCAGGAGTAGATCTGGTCTTTTTGAGGACAAGTCCAATCGCACAACTCCAGAAAAACTTCTGCGTGGAAACTTCTTTCTGCCTCAAGCCCTTAGGAGCCTCACTTGAAAGAGGCGCCTTTGCCCAAACCCTCTGAATTAGTCATGCATGTGCCTTGGCTCCTTGTCCTTTTCCTGAGGTGATGCAGAGCCCTGAGCCTCACCCCGTGTCACACTTCTCCCTCCGGCCACATCCTCTCTGTGGCAGCTGCTCTGGCTCCCCAGGTGACCCAGCTTGGTTTCCAAGAAGGTTCTGCCACGGGGCCCTTAGAATCCACCACAGCTACCACGGGGTAAAAAAAGCCAGGGCTGGGCCAGTGGTCAGACAGCGGTGGCATCCCTGGGACAAGTCACTCCCCCATCCATTCTCCTGCCACGCCTCCCCCGGCTCCAGCCAGGCCCTGGGGCCCCAGCCTGGATGGGGTCATGGGTCTGGGAGGGATTCACACGCTAAATCACTCTGTCTTCACACCAGCTCTTCCAGAGCTGCCCGGCCTCTGAGTGCACACCTGGCCCCACATGACCCCAGGGGACCAAAGCTCACCAGATCTGTAGGTCCAGGGTCACCTGTCTCGGGTTGCTTTTGTTAGTGTGTGCCTTGACTCCGGTCACCCGGGGACACTGGAAGAGAGGAGGGGAGGACCAGGTCAGCAGGTTCTCACAGCAGGGAGGGCCCCAGCCCTTGGCCAGCACCGGGCCTTGCCACCAACTGTAAACATGACAGCTACCCTTGAGTGGAGCAAACAGAGAAACTCTGCCTGAGCCCGTAAGCCCGCGAGCTGCCCCTTCCTGGAGTACGCCCCCTCCTTTCTCTCGCCTCCTGCCGCAGTCATCTACTAGGCACCTTATTCTGTACAGCCCAGAGGGCAGGGGGTGGAGGCACGGAGCGAGGGACCATCGCAGACAAATGGGCTGGGGGGGGGCAAGAAGGTGCAGCCCGTGTTATCCCAGGAGAGCCGGGGACTTCCCGGACATCTCCCAACCCAGCCTAGATGGGCTTAGTGAAGGTTCCTGGAGGGGGAGGCAATTATAGCCAGTCAGGCAGGTGTGCAGGACTTGGCCCCCCAAGGGCCAGGGTCCCCAGCTGAGGGATCTGACCCTCAGGATTCAAGTGTCCCATGGCTGGAGCCATAGTGCCCAGGCTCTGGGCCAACACCTGGGTCATTTTCCTTGGTAACTGTTCCTCTCTGCCCACTCTTTTGCCAGCAGGTGGTCTGGTTATCACTGATCAAAAATAAAAATTTCACCAGGCATGGTGGTGCACACTTGTAATCCCAGAACTTGGGAAGCTGAGGCAGGAACATTGGTGCAAGTTCATGGCCAGCCTGGGCTACACAGTGAGCTCAAGCCCAGCCTGAAATGCATAGCAAGACCCTGTCTCAAAAAAACAAGGAAAAAAAAAAAATACAAGTGTTATGGTTTGTGTCTGGGTGTCCCCCCAAAGCCACATGCAGTCAGGGGCTGGGCTTTCAGAGTTCATGATTGATTCATGGTCCAATGTTGGAATTATGGGTGTGAGTGCCACACCTGCCCTGAGGCAGAGAGTTTGCATATGTAAGGGAAAGAAAGAGGCTGCTTGCCACTGCTCCTCCCTTTTGCTCTGGTTGCCTTTGCTATCTCTCACGCCATGAACTGTTGTCCCTGCCATGTGCCACTCTGCCTTGGAACCAGCCAAGTATGGACTGAAACCTCCACAAACTGTGAGCTAAATAAACCTTTTCTTCCTTAATATTGGGTGTCAGGTATTTTGTCCCAGCAACAAGAGAAAAGTAACCAAGATAACAAGTTTCAAGCCAGGTATATATGCTACACACCTGCAATCCCAGCACTCTGGGAGGCAGAGGCAGGAGTATCAAAAGTTTGAGCCCATCCTGGGCAACTTAGCAGTTTGGCAGGACCCTGTCTGAAGATAAAATTTTGTTTTTTTGGTACTGGGAATTGAACTCAGGACCTTGTACTTGCTAGGCAGGCACTGTGCCGCTGAGCTATCTCCCCAGCTCAAAAAAAATTTTTTTAAAGGGCCAAGGGCATAGCTCAGTGCAAAGGCCTTGGATTTAGTCCTTTAATCCTCAGTATTAGAATAATATTATTTGAATCTGGGTAAATGATATTCATGCTGAGAAAGGAAGCAGTTAGGGGTGAAGTTCACTGATGTCTGCTATATGGCCCAAAATTTATTTTTTAAGAAGATGGATAGAGAAGCATTAATATGTAATAAATCAAATACCGCAATAAGTTAGGTGGCTGAATAATTCAACTTTTTTGTATGTTTGAAATTTTCCATAATAAAATTTTGGAGAAAAATGTAATCAGTCCTGCTAGAGGGGAAGATACATGTATTTTCTGTTCACTCTATAGAAACTGGTATTTACAAATGCACTGTCCCATGGGAAGGTTCTCAGAGTATGGAGCCAAAAATGCAAAATGCAAAATGCAAAAATAACAGTTAATTAACAATATCATGTGGTTTTCCCAGAGTCTGTAGTATGTGTGATATGACAACTTTTTAAAATGTGTAACTTTATTTTCTCATTCCTATTTGTTTGTTTTGTTTGTTTGTGGTACTAGGGATTAAATCCACGGAGCTACATCCCCAGTCCCGTTTTTTATTCTTTATTTTGAGACAGAGTTTCACTAAAATGTCAAGTTGCCCAGCTGGTCTCAAATTTGTGAACCTCCAGCCTCACTCTCCCAGAGTGCTGGGATTATAAGTACTTAGCACCACAGAGAGCCTTTGTATTTATTTAATATTTATTTTGTCCTAATTTTGCATTTTTACTATTCACCTATTGATACGGTGATTGAACCCAGGCCCTTCATATTCAGCTTTGTCCCCAGGCTGTTGGTTTTTTTTGGGATGATCTGGCTAACTTGCCTGAGGCAATCCTCCCGCCTCTGCCTCCCAGAGTGCTGGGATTATAAGTATGTGTCACCATGCCCAGCTAATTTTATATTCTTTTTTTTAAAAGAGAGCCCCCAGATTATGGCTGCTTCAGAGGGCTCCCCCTGGAAGCCTGGACGGGAGGAGGGGCACTGTGAGTAATGGGGGTTGCCCAGCAACCATAAATGCTCAGTCAGCACCTAGACCCTCATTCTTGCAGGGGCAGATTCTAGGGAAGATCGCCTGCCTGGAGGCCCCTACCACAGAGAGGAGGGGAGTCGCCTTCAAGTGTCCAGGCAGCGTGGCCCTGGTCTAGGCTCACAGCAGGGCAAAGGGCACCAGGCAAGAATCTGTCCTCCAAAATGCAAGGCACAGATCCCACGGGCCACCCTGAGGCCAAGCCTGTTTGTGCCTCAAAACCACCTTCAAAAGTGGGGCCTTTCAGATACAAATAAGAGAGAAAGAGTCAAATTATCCTTAGTTGTACAGGATAGGGTCCTGTATTTGAAGATCCTAAGACTCCACTGGAAGAGTTTTAGAGCTAATTAACAAATTCAGCAAAAGTAGCAGGATACAAAATCAACATTAAAAAACCAATAGCTTTTCTATATACCAAGAGTGAACTCACTGAGCAGGAAATCAAGAAAACGATTCCATTTACAGTAGTTAAAACAAAAACCCCTAGAATCAATGTAGCCCTGGAGGGGAAAGACCTCTGCAGTAAATATTACAGAATATTAGAGGAAGAAATTCAAGACAGAGAAGATGTCCCATGTTCATGGATCAACTGAAAGCCATCTCCAGCTTTAATGCAATCCCCAGCAAAATTCCAGTCACATTCTTCCCAGGACTAGAAAAAAACCACATAGTAAAATTCACAGGGAAACACAAAGGATCCAGAACAGCCAAAACACTCCTGAGCAAAATGAGTAAGGCTGGAGAGTGGCATCACAACACCCGACTTCAAATTACACTACAAAGTCACAGGAACCAAACCAGGATGGTGCTGGCACAAAAACAGACACGCAGACCAGTGACCAGAACAGAGAACATGGAAACGAGCCCATGCACCTGCAGCCGTCTGATTCCGGACCAAGGAGCCAAGAATGTATGTTGGAGCAAACACAGCCTCTTCAACACATGGTGCTGGAAACTAGATATCCCTCTGTGGAAGACTGAAACTAGA